ATATATATTTCAAATAATTTTATAGTTTTTGAAATTTCGCATTTTTCAGTAGCGCTTTTTCGAAAAGGAGCAAAACAAGTGCAATTATGCAAACGAATTGGTTAGTTTTCAGCAGATATTCATGCTGTTATTTCATGTATTACAAATAACCAAATGTTTTGTTAAACAGTCAATTTAATAGCAAATCAATTAGCAACGAAAGAATACGTTTTCGTTGCTCACAAAGAAAACGAAAAACTTGACATTTCTGCAAACAGTTTCAGACAGCGATACGAAAAACAGCTACCTAAACGCCTTGGATGATGTTGGTAATAAGAAATGCTTTGCTTGTTTGCTGGCTAACGTTTTCGATTGCTAACAATTTGGACAATTTAATCAATTTGTTTGTTTCGTAGTTTCTTCCATTTTAGAGCTCTTTTTTTTCATATTTTCAGCTCGTGCAACACCTGTGTCTAATGCATCAAATGATACAGCTGTACAATTGCGCAGGCTTGATCAATGGTTAGTTCAAAACTAATATTTCTCAAAAAAGGTTGTTTGAGATATATGAAAGTAACCAAACCATCAGAGGTTAAAACAATAAAATGATTTGATTGATATTGTGAGTTTGTTTCAGAAACAAGCTAGATTACGGGGAAAGCATAGGATAAATAATCACATAATTTTATGACTTAAATAGGAATGCAGTGAAAATAACGATAAGTGTTTGTTATAGGCGTTCATTTGGTCGAAAGAATTCATTAAGTTTGCCTCCAGAAGGTCGAACTATTGATTTCAGTAAGGAATTCGAGCAGCAGGATATGAAGTATGACAGTACAGGGATGTTCCACTGGTGTCCGGCAAGGACACTTGAAGAATGTGTTTTGGTAAGTAAAATTACTCATGAATTATATGTTTAATAACTGTTAAGCGAGGAAAAAATCAATAAAAATCAGATTGAAGCTGAAAATTCAGCAATTTCAGTGATGGAAAAAATTCTGCTTTTATATATTTTTTATTTTCGGAGTTATAAATGTAAAAAAAGTGAAGTTGAAATTGGAATGTTCGTATGGATAAATACTCGGAACGCTTTTATTGTACATACATGAATTTTTTAGGATCGGCATCAGGCAGCAATGACAGTACTCAATGGGCATGTGGTTGTCTGTTTATTCGCCGATCGTAATTCACCTTTAATTGGTCTTCGCAATTTTGTCATGCCTCTTCGTGCCTCAAATTTTCATTATCATGAACTTAAGCATGTCGTTATTGTTGGGGACGTGGAGTATCTGAAAAGAGAATGGAAAACTTTATATAATCTGCCGAAGATTTCCATTTTAAATGTATGTTTTAATTGGTTCCTCTTCCGCATTTTTATTCCTTTGAAAAAAAAGATGAAAGAAGATGAAACTTTGTCTCATATTGTCATATCATTCATTTCGACAAGAGTTTATGTGTACCTCTAATGATAAAGAAAAAAGTAATGAAAGTAGGATAAGGATGTATAGACATTATTGATTATACGTTGTCCTAGTACATATCCAGCTATATATCCACTTATACCTTTTATGGATCTCTTGCTTTAGTCTTTAGATTCTAGGAATTGCATGGTTCAGTTCAAGATGATGGAATAGATAACTAAATTACTACTACACTTAGCTACTTTATCTCATTCAAAATCTGCTATTTCCTCTAGCGCAAGCCAAATTTCATATCAATATTCAGCAGAAAAATTGATATAAATTCGAAGTCTTGTTATAACAGCCTCCTTACAATTGCTTAAGTTTCAGTAAACAAAAAAAAAAAAACATATTATTTCAGGGATCGCCATTATCACGAGCAGATTTGCGCGCAGTAAATATAAATTTGTGCGATATGTGTGTTATTGTATCAGCTCGTATACCGAATCCAAATGAAGATCCAACACTGGCCGACAAAGAAGCCATTTTAGCATCATTGAACATCAAGGCCATGCAGGTTTATATCATTGTCAAAATTCCTGCACTACAAACACCAAGTGATATATTTATCGTCGATGATAAAGCTAAGCATCTGAGAAAGCATACTCAATCACTTACTTTAGTCTATTTGCTGTGGATGACTCAAATATTTCGTCGACCTCTTAGTTCTTAACGCATCATTATTCTGGATGTGCTGAGACTTATCTCTAATCATCATGAACAATCACCTCCACCACTTATAAATATCATTATTAAGGCCGGTTAAGTCTTTTTCTTACAGATACCGTTCGACGACGTAAACCGTCGTCTATCTCTCATTCAGGTTTCTCTTTCCTTGCTGATGATCTTGTTTTGTCTTTAATTTCGAAGTACCGTAAACACCGATGGAACTATTCATTTTCAGTTTGATGATACTCTTGGTTTTTATCCGTTACGGCAAACTGGAACCGTTTCTCCTCTTGGTAGTCCATTGTCTTTACAAAAGAAAGGTGCACGATTTGGTACCAATGTACCGATGATTACTGAGCTCGGTAAAGCGTTATCTTATTATTTTTAAATTGAAACACATAGATGAAAACCTCTGTGGCCTTTCACTTGATCATATATAACCAGACACTTTTCCATCACATTAGAACTAGATGAGTTCTGAAATTTTTCTAGAACCAGCTAATTATTATTGCTTATTTAATATGTTTTATTAAAGTTAACGACTCCAATGTACAATTCTTGGATCAGGATGATGATGATGATCCAGACACCGAGCTCTACCTTACTCAACCTTTTGCTTGCGGCACTGCTTTCGCAATATCTGTATTGGATTCTCTGATGAGCACCGTAAGTCTTTTTGTAATAGTAAAAAAAATAACGCAGAATTTGTTGCAAGGAAAGACTGCAAGAAACAAAATTTAAATGTTAGCTGGAAATGTGATATTTTTCCCCTCTAATCTTGCAGACTTATTTCAACGATTCTGCCTTAACGCTGATTCGAACACTGGTAACAGGAGGCGCTACACCGGAAATGGAGTTAATATTAGCAGAAGGCGCAGGATTACGAGGCGGATACAGCACACCGGAAACACTGAATAATCGGGATCGATGTAGAATTTCACAACTGGCCCTACAAGACCGACCGTTCGAAGGAATTACGGTAATTTGCTTTTCTCTGAGTGAATTGAATTTGATGCATTTGAATTGCTACCATAAACGTAAAAAAAGTGGTTTCAGACGGGTAGTTCCTACGGCCAAATGTTTAGCATCGCACTGAAAAGACATGGACAACTCTGCATCGGGCTGTACCGATTACATGACCAAGCGGCGGTCGATTCTAATAAACGATATGTCATAACAAATCCACCAGCCGAATTACGACTATTATTAAGCGATTATGTATGTTCCATCTGCTAGTATTACAAGCTTTTAACCAATTCTCCATCCTCTGTAAAAACGTAAAAAATATTGTACCACTGAAATGTTCATTAGCACTGTTTTAATTTAATATCAAATCTTGACAAGATACCTAACAACGAAAAAAAGCACAAAGGATGCATTGCTCCAATTCATTAAGACGCTTTTTCTTTTTAGGTTTATGTGTTGGAACAATTTGATCCTGGTTTGGAATACGAGCCAAGGAAAAACTTCCTATGATTTTTTGTGCCAGTCTATTTTTGTTATTTCATTTGAAAATGATGTCGCTCAAGACTCTCTACCTGTAACATCCAATCTAAAAAGAATGTCACCGGTACTATAGAGAACGTGTATTACTGCAAACTAAAATGTGAAGCGAGGTTTAGCATTCCAAACCGGCATCTGTAACACAGGCAACAAATCAACTTTCCCAAATTCATTTTTTAAGCTGCTGTTTTGCCTGCGTATCAGAAAAAAAATTACAAATATACATAAATAATAATAATATAAATATCAAATTTGTAATAAAAATATATGCAAATTTGCAACATAACAAATAATGAGTGATCAAATATTCAACTAAATCGCGTCGAAAGAAGGAAGCCTTCCTGTCTGCCATTATTTGCCATTGCTCATTTTCATACTACCAAGATTACACATCGGTTGGATATCTTTATGCAACATCTCGATTAAGTCTTGTAATTCTCTATTCCCACCTAGCATGTCGATATGCGAGACCAGCATGTCGTGTAATTCTTGTAAACGTTTCAAGGTATATCTAAAAAGGATATTCCAAAAATCATTAAATAGGAGGAAAATATTAGACTCATGAATGCGAGAGTAAAGCTTTTAACGTGGGAAAATATTTACCCGAACGCTCCTCGTTCCTCTATAATTCGTATGCAGTGCTTCTTAACTTCCACTTCTTTAGGCCTTTGACGTAATATACCTGAAAAGCTATTCACAAATTAATGGAACAGAAAATTCCCACGCAGCAAAGAAATAATTCCCAAATTATATTCTTCAAACATGTTGTACTTATGCTAAGCAAATTTTTATTTGATAAAATATTCAAGATGATTACTAATAATTTCGTCGTCGTTGTATTTTTTGCCAATAGCAACTATAATGGGGAAAGAGAACTTTCCTTCCGTGAGATCTTCAGCAAATGTCTTCAGTTCTGCATATGAATGGGAACAAAGATTGATGTAGTCATCTCTGCAACATGTATCTATGCAATAAAAAATGAGGCGGAAAAAAGTGCAATACAAACAAAAATGTCGGATTCGAAAGGATTACCTGATCTGAAAATAAACGGCCAAATTTCTTATCAGCGATTTAAAGTCGTATTGCTTCTTCCCAAATAATTCCATCAGCTGTACTGTCAAAGCAAACAAACCACCCGTTTCTAAAGAATTATTGCAATTGAATGTTCGCTAAACAAAGCGATGCAAAATTCATAATTTATGTCCTAACTTAACAGCTAGCACATACTTTGTATCACCATTTGTTCGTACTCCTCCACAGTTGGACATTGAACTATATCCCGCCAATACAATTCTTTTCCTTGTCCACGATGCAATTCCAATAATTGTTCTAAATTTTATTGGATGAAGCACAGAGCTACTACTTGGTGTCAGTATTTTCATGTAAACTTTCTAGCATCGCTTCCGTTCTTCGTAGAATGACGAAAGAACGCGAAATTGTGTCAAGATCAGATACAACGAATTATCTCCATATTTTCAAAATCTTGGCCAAATTTAAATTCTAATTGCCTTATAAAGCTGCAATGGTGAGCAAATGAATTATAAAACCAAACGGAGAAGAAAATAGGTTTATAAGAACCAGTAAAAATCTTCACAGCTTCAAATTTGCCCAACAACATGCACCTAGAAAGTGCTACGAAATATACATAGTTTGCCGTGTTGATTGTACGCGGAATCCCATAAATGCTATGTGTTACCGGTAAACCACGCCGTAGAAGCGAGTTATCTTCGATATCATCAATCCTGCAATTCTAATTGATACAACTAGCACAAACATCTTAATATATGTATAAATGAAGATTCGGAAATGTCGAGGTCCGGGACAGTTTCGAAAAACTCATTCAATTGGAACTACTAACTTTGAAACAGCAACCATTCCATAAGCAAGCAACACATAAGCTTACATAAGTGATGCATTGTGGAGCATTTCGACCACAGTCATGATGGAATTCAGCACTTCCATGTCGACTTGCAGCCAAAAATTAAATGCTTTTGCTAATTGGCTTCTTAACTGCTTTCCAGGTAACTTCAGCATATATTCATACGGTGCAAGTAATACGTCATCTGCCATCTCGTAAGAAAATCCACAAACTGTGGAGCAAACAACTAATTAGAAATCATACGATGTTAACTTTGAAAAATAAAGCTAAAAAAATGTAGGAAAGAGAGGAAAAAGTCCCATACTTCAAATGCAAATGAATAAGTCATTGAGATTCATTTCGTCACAAACTTCAAAGATATCTGCTAGTCGCTGTTCGGTATATAATTAACAAATGCATTTACATCATAAATTTTTATTTATACTATACAGTTATATAAAACATATGACACATGAGATCAACATGGCACTGCTGTTCCGGTTTCTCGAACATATTCCACGCATTTACTAGGATCTGTGGGGAAATATTTTTGGCATCGAGTCATTATTCTTTTAAAGGCCTGAAGTGCTCATATTGAGTTTTCGAAGCTAATAGACATGAACTGATAAAAGGCTCTTTTACTAATAGTTCTATCCTTCATTCTGGTATAGAAATTTTTTAATGTTTTCTTTTATTTCTAATTTTTTAACTGAATAGTAAGACTATATTTAGCATATTATCTTATTTCACAATAGATAAATTGCATTCACGCAATCTTATATGAGAATAAAACTACGTAAAATGTCCTAAAAATATGTTCCTTAATGATATTCCGTGAAAACCTGTATGTATTTCCGTTGTGTCTCATCATTAAGTACATGGGCGATATTTGAAACGTAGGCTTTTGCCGAGCCAGGTCGTTGATGCAAACCAGATCTTGTCACACCCACAGGCCACGGGGCATTACCTATTGCCATTTCCATATACGCATTATTTGCTCTGCAAGAAAAAAAATACTGATAAATACTGATAAATTGAATATAGATTTTTTTTTTTAAATTCCCCCAAAAAAATTAATATCCCATTTCATTACATTGCCAACATATTCCAAACAAACCTGATATAATCGCGATCAATTATGATAAGACGACAAATTTTGATCAAATGTTCTCGAATGTCAGCATTTACATTGTGCTTCTCCAGATTTTTCATCAACGGACGAAGATGCTCCATTGTTTGCTTATGCATCGTTGCCGCTAATTTACCTTCTGCTGATCTGGAATATCAAATTTCGGCTTTTTCCTAATATCTGAAGTCTTGAAAAACAAAGAGAAGACAAAGCGAACTCATCAACTAGCTAGCCGTAAATATAAATACATATGAATTTCCATCTCTTAGCAATACTATTAACATGGTCTGAAAAGTATCCCTAAGCAAACTATTCGAAAAAAGGGAAAAAATTCGTTTTCTGTAGTGACTCTTTTAAGAATTTTAACGAGGTGGGACATTCAAAACAATTTTTTTTGGATGAAAGTGCTGAAACACTAACTAGCGATTAATATCCTAAAATATGTTGTTAAGCGATAGCTAATAAAACTAACAACTGTCTTAAACCATTTCATATAAACCAAAAATCAAACCCATCTACCACAGCTATGTAAAATACTATAATCGAGAAGTATCATACCTCTTTTCAACTTCATCGCGAGCATTCAGTGCTTTACCCCACCGAGTTAATATGTAAGAAAAGAATTCACGAATAACATCACAGTCTCTACTGGGATTATCACCTTCACCCAGTAACTGAGCATTAGCTTCTATCCTTTCCCAATTAGTATCATCTGTGGAGTTCGGCATATCAACGTCGTGTTTACCTGGAAGCTTCGTACTATACTACTTCGAAAAGCATTTAAACAAGCACCATATCTTGATTTATGTGGTCTGAGGTAATCAAGGAGTGAATACAGATACGCAAGCGCGAAATTACTGCAAACATATATGAAACCAGACCCAGAATGTTGGTGTGTAATAAGTACCTACGAATAACCAGACAAGCTTTAAAGCGACAAACCGCAATTCAATTCAGTTTAAGTTTACAAAACACTCGAAGAAACTAATAATTAAGTGAAATCCGACTATCTCTTAATCTAATCTCAAAAACATGACTCATATGTAAACATGATATGGAAAATTAACCAGCGTTATACTGCTCTCCTTTGATAACTTCTTCTATCAGTTCATGGTCCACTTCTTTCATAGCCGACTGGAAATCATTTTTCCATCCCTCTTTCATATCAGGCTAAAATAAAGACAACAGATAAACTAATGAAACAGACTAGAACATTATGCATACTTTAATTATGCCATGCAACATATGTAAGAAGAAACCACACCAAGTAAATGATGATAGCAGACGTACATAACAAGAACCGAAAACTTACTTGCTCAATCTCAAGCTTACGAAGTCGAGCTCGAGATTCTTGTTCTGTCTCGCCAAACAGCGTTATCGGTTGACTCCGACTCCTTAATCTTCTGATAACGTCTGTTCGTGGTAAATCATCACAATCTAATTCCGTTTCAATGCATATTTCCTTCGGTTGATTTTCAATTCGTAGTAAGCCTTCATTTTTCGTCTATCAAAATGAAAACTAAAATCTAAGTCCGCAAAAAATACGACTTTATAAATCTATATTCATACAATTAAGGATTCAAAACCACAATACGGATCGGAGAATCATCAGATAATATTCGTAACTTTTATAATGAGAAAGGATAGGAAATGTAAACTAACAGTTGCAGGAGTCGGCGTTACTGTTCGGTGTTTCGCTTGATAATTCTCTCGAATCTTCTCTTCTTCCTTCTGGAGCAATTTGCTGCGTTCCAAATATTTCTTATTTGGTACCTACGGAAAACCATAACTTATTTAATACCCACAAACCCTTTCTATACACATATGTACTTCCTTAACTTCATCTAACAACACTTTACCATGCGAAACCCTTGCAAATATTATGATGCACTAATCATATTTTAAGCAAAAACGATATACGTCGAACGCTTCACTTCATTAAAAGTGAATAATTTCGATCAAAAATTAAACAGACAAACATACCATAACTTCCTCAACTTGCTTCCGTTTACGCTCAATTTCCGCTCTCAAAACATCCATCTCTTCCTGCAAAACGGGCGAAAGTAATGTATTGTTAATGTAACCATCATATAATTTCTAGAATACTATCCCGAGAGCCAGCAAGTGAACTGACTTCATCCAGTGATCTAAGGATAACACCATAACCCACTCGCACCATCTGTCCCAAACCATACTTTCAGTCCTGAGAAATATCCTCAATATCACTAGATCCCAAGTACCCAAGGCTACCAGTTGGATTAATGTGGAACCTTTCGCAACCCAAATATGAACCTCATATGAAGCGCAAGAGATGTAGCAAAAATGTCCTGAAAGTTGGGTTGACATTTACCGTCTATCAAATGTTCCCGCTATTTTAATAATGTGTCACTGAATCTCTTTAAGTTAGCTTATCTTTGAATTTTTTTACTTCTTCATACCATGCTATTTCTTTTACGCCAATTTTCTAATCATTCGAAGTGAAACCGTTTCAGTTCTTTGACTTTTTTTTTGTTACATCACTAGCATCGGCGTATATCACCGTTACATTCAATAGTTCCATGTTATCCTCGCTTGTTCACGTGTTTTACGTTTGGTCCCTCGAAAGTAATGTAACAATGTTTTACAGCATCATTATTTGTAACAGCATAGAGGAAACTTCTGAGAACCAGTTAGAGGTGATTATTTGAACAGATTCCTGAGTATCATAGAAGAGTTAAAGCATAAGCTTCTAAATATCATCCACAACTAAACGGACGAACTTTTTCTAGCCTTATCCGCAATAAATGAAATTTAATGAAATTGAGTTTCCATTTCCTGAATTCAAATGAAAATTGAAAATTTGACCTACTCACTTAACTTACACGAAGTTTCGCATATACACTTCGTATTTCTTGCTGTACGATTTATTGTTCCTTAGTAAGAAAAATATGAACAGTTTCAATCGATGAGGTGGCATTCTCTACAGCATTACGAGTTTGTTATGACAACAGCAGTTACAAGCACAGTAATCAACATGTAGCATTAATCTCATTTGTATAATATCTTTTTTCCTTAAGTAACTCGTTTAGAATTTAACTAAAATCCTAAATTGAAATATCGTTTGTATTTGCTAAATTTTCCTACAGCAATTTTCAGCATCAATCGAAAAAGTATTCAAATAATACCGGAAAAAGGAACCTACGTATTCAGTATCAAAATGGTTTTCCAATGACCAAAGTACCATTAAAATGAAGGATATAAATGCGTCAATTTACTCTGAAACCCATCAGCAATACTATCTTGGTTCTGCAGAAATATCAAATGCGAAGATAAAGGCATAGAAATCGTATATGTTTATTCAAAAAGTAAATTTAACGTAGAGATTTGTAACTTGTTATTTAGCGTTTTTTCTTGCTACAGTTTTGCGATTTTAGAATCACACTTTGCAGTTCATGTACATATTTATGTAAAACCATAATTCCATTTTCTCGACTGTGTTCCTGCTTTTTTATTTGATTTTTTTTGTTTTTATCCAAGCTTCGAAAATTTTCAGCTGGTAATAAAATTGCTGGGAGTACTTCAGTGCATCACTTATTGTTGCAAGGCAATTTAAATTGCGCATTAATGATTACCTTTATAATGTTGAAGTCATCAAAAGATACCGCTGCGGTGAGGCCTTTATTTTCTTACTCTTATCTATAACTATACATACTTCTGGATTTTTCCTCAGTATATAGCGTTTTTATAGGGATATGCGATAAATTGTTAGTTTATTTTTAATGTCGGCTATGAAAACATTTTGCTGCCAAATTGGTTTGATATTGCTTGAAATTCAATTGCTGTCGAGGAGACAAATCCTTTAGTTAATACCGAAATCTGTAATCAGTGTTGTTTGGTGCCAAATAGATTTGTGATTACATCAGTAGAGGAGTGTATCAGTTAATATTGGATAGAGAAATTTTAAACCTTGAATAATTTGCATAGGATTCAATAACGGTGATAGCGTTGATAAAGCCATATAATATTGTATAACATCGGTAAATAATTCCTAACAATAGTAAATTTTGAGGGGTCTCAAAACAGATGACAACGCAATGCAGAAACTTGACTTGAGGTTAGCAGTAGCGGTAGCAGCATTATGCATTATACGAATGTGAAAGAGTATAAAGCATTCCGGGAAAAAGTACTTATGAAAGAGTATGACCGTAATGGACGCGTATCTTTATATTTTGATTGTGATTTATTTTGTTTTGAGGGAAACATAATAAATCATTCAATTTTCAAAATTGTAGCATGTATAAAATATGGCACCGGCAGCAATAGGATTTCAAGAAGGATTTCTCGCTCGATTAACGTAGTGGGTCTTGTATAGAATCGGCGTTTAAGTAAGATGGTAGTTAAAAGTGCCCTTGTTTGCCAATGGTATTTTGTGATGTCTTGTGACAGTAATATTACATTTATGATAATTCATTTCCCATAACATTTGTTTATTTCTTAAGAGTAAATTAAAGTGGCTCATTTTTTTTTCGCTCTCTATCAAGATTTTTTAGATAATAATTAGCTTTAGTTTCTGTATACCTAGTGGAGACTGAAGTCGAAGTCAGCCAAATCATTATATAACAATTTTTTTTGGATTTTCGAATCATTTCTTCGTATAGTGATATACTGATATACATTAGGTATATGCTCATGTCCATTGAATATATTAGTTGTTGTATTGTGAAGAAATTCGGTTGTTTTAACAAATTAGCAACGAAAAACGATTAGTGAATTTCAGACTGCAATGCGATATCATTTAGTGAATGAATATAAAATGGTTTATTATTCTTTGAATTGGACATGGAACCGAAAATCTGAGAGAAGGTGCTGGTTATCACTTTTTCTATTGATAACTAGAATAATGGATGATAGAAGCATTATCCATTCGAAAGTCTTAATTTCCGGACAATAATTGGACGGCTTTCAAATCGTTTGTTCTTATTTCCCCAGTTATTTCAATTGTTTTTAATATTTACATCATTCCGCTTCCCACAAAACATCAGGATGATGATAGTTACATGCAACTATCTTGAATATAAGTAAATGAATGTTATTTCAACCTATTATGGACCATTACGGATATGAATATGGAATGGATTATTAATATTGCATTATATATAAGGGATTTGTCAACTTATTTATAAGAAAGAGTGAAATATATTTAAAGAATTTAGAATTACAAGGCCAAGTTTATGAAGATCATTTCACTGGAAGTTCGCGGTGATAATTTTAGCTAGTTTGAAGTAGATGAGAACGACTAACATACAATAAATAGCTAGATAGAAAATAGATAAAATGAACTTAGTTTTCCTAATAAAATAAAAAAGCGCATGAAATAACGAAACCATTAGATATATCGATACTATAATATAAACTGCATTTTCAGGTTAACTTGTAACATTTGGTCTTTATCAAATTTCCGATTTCAGCAAATTTTGGAGAGGAATATTACATGCAAAAAATGATTTATAATCAACTATTGTAACAATCAATTATTGAAAGAAGAAAATTATTTAGTCGATCTGATCCGACTTAACCATGAAGTACATTTCTTTTTCTCCATTGGAATAGATGATATTTTCGGAAGTCGGCTTTTTTCGAAAATTTTCGGAACTGTTGACCCGGCATTTTCCTCCCGGATCGCTCCGACAATTTCAGGATTACGCCCTAATTGACAAACATTTCGACCATCGCAATCGTTAAGCAATGGAGGTGAATTGGCATGATTTATACTTTTGCGCTGAAAAATTTTCTATCAATAAAATACCAATTAAACATATATAATACTATATAAAGGAAGTAAAATTAATTCAGTGTTTTTCGGATAAGTTGGAAAAACAAAAATTAAACAAAATAGTGCACAATTAAATAGGATTACAAAACTCATTTTTAAGACAATTCAAATATCTCATAACTAACTTGAACATAAAAAATTTTTTAAATCATCAAAATTTACTGATATTTCAAGAATTTGTTATTTAAAACAATTAACAATGAAAACAGTATGTCGGATTCACAGTTGTATCGTAACTGGTTGTAGCTTACCAAGTGTGGTAATCTGGATGGATTAATTGATAATGATCGTTTCGACATCATTGATCGTTTTTCCATGTAAAGTTGCTTGCCACTGATAACAGCATAATCAGATGAGCCGCTGCTATGAGAAAGCGGAGTATCGTATTTAGCTAATTCATTTCCTAAAATAATTTGCAAATATTTAAAATATGATATTTTAATAATTGTAAAAATTAAAAGAATATAAGTAGATAACAAATTTAAGATACTGATTCCAGTCGACTTTCCAGTAAATGACAAACCACCAAATGAATCCAATGATCCTTGATTGATAATTCGCGGACGTTCATTCAAATTTATCCGTCGCGCCATAATAGGCGTGGAACACGGACTACGAATCATATTATTGCGAACATCTTGCAATGACGAAACGATTGATCGTGTATGATCGTAATTTATTAATGGATGTAAGCTAGAAATAAACTTTTTTGTTTTAGGTTTAGCAGCAATGTTTTTTTGCAACGAAGTGATTTATATTTTGTTGGTTTGATTTCATTACTATTGCATCAATTACTGAACTTTGAAATTTTAACTTGCACTTTGAAATATTAATTGTAATGCAACAGTTAGCAACTTAAAATTTTATCTTCAGTTTGTTAAAATTTCTTGGGAAAATCAAAACAAGAATTTAGGTAATAACATTTCTTTATTTTTTCTCTGTTTTTTTGCATTTCATGCAAATGTGATCAATTTTTCGTATATATCTTTGAATGTATCCGATGATAAAGGAAAAAAAGTATGAGTAGTATAAAATAGTTCAATGAGGGTGATAACTTTCTCACGTTGTTTTAAATTTTTTTAATGAAGTGGAATATTTCTAGGTGCTAACGTCTAACCTGCTGTTTCTACCAAACTTTGATTAAATAATTTAATTTTGAAATTCTTGAAAAAGAAGTTTAAATGGTAATTAAAATTTCTTAATGTTATTACCTAAATTCTTACCTAATTGGTCGTCCTGCTGACTGACTTTTGTGATTTCGTTGCGACATACAGATTTTGTTAGCAGAATTTCTGAGTAGCTGTTCTCGATGTCGTGGAGTACCTTTAATCTTTGCTAATTTAATTAAAACATAAAATTTTTCTTATTTTCAATAAAATTTGATAATTTCATATTCATTAGCTTTTGCTTAATTAATTGTTTGGTATTAGTAATTCACCTTGTTGTGGTATAATAGTAGTAGTACTTTGTAAATCGTCCTTAACGTGTGAATTTGAATTCGAAATGCCAGCGCCTTCAGGATGGGCTTTATTTAATCCCGTGAATTCGGATATTCGTGATAAGCCTTGAAAATATAATTCAAAACATTCAACAAAGGATGAAATAAAGATAATTTCCAATGGTGATAATAGTAATTATGAAATCTCTTTGTTAAATTACGCTTTAAATAGTTTAAAGTAAATATAAACCTAATTGTGCACAGAAATATGATAGGAAAACTTACATCTAGCATAATCGAATAATCGCAAAAATTCATTTTCAATGCTTTGCTCATTTTTTTCAACTTCCGATTCCATAGCACAGGAATCGGAACGATAATATTTCCGAATTCGTGATCCGTGTAATTTAAATGGCAACAAAAAATTCATCTCTGGCTTAATCTAGAAAAATCAAATTTAAATTAAACGAATAATACTTTAATTATTATAAATATGATGATTACCAGTTGTGATAACTGCGACGAATGCTTCAGTTTAGCTTAGAAATTTATGTTAAATGCCGAAATTAAAATAAACTGATATACCGTTTTTTGCAACAAATCTTCGCCATGATATGAGGCAGGTCGTGATGGTCGACGTCTTGTGGCTTCATAAAGTTGCAGTTTCAATCGTTCCAGCTATAATTCGTTGATTCAAATTAAGTATCTCAACAATCAACAGTGATATTTCATTTTATTTTAAACTAAATCTCGAAATGTTACAGTACAAGTGATCACACTTACAAATTCTTTCATAACCTACGCTATATTAGCAAATTTTCTGATCAAATGTACCTGAGCGTGAATTATAAGTAAGGACGATTGAACACGCATCACTTCAAAATCTGATCGATTGGCGTAAATGTTCTTTTCGATGTAAGAAGTACGAAGTTGGCCTAACTGAAAAAAATCAGGATATTCTAGCGTTGTAGTCTTAATATAAATTTTTAGTAAAAAACTAAAATTTCTAAAATTTAAATTTAATATTAACGAAATGATCAAGAAAAGAGTAGTAAGCAATGATGTAGAAAATATAACTTTCAAAAAATTGGTTTGAATCAGTTTAATCTTCAAATAATTTAAAGTCCATTTTAGGTCAGAATCTATTAGCAAAAGATAGCGGTATTTATTCATAATGCAAATACTTGTATTATCTAAAAAAGGTTGTATGTTGTTAATTCATTAAACTCGTCTTTGAACTTTTAATAACAAACTTAAAATTAAAATTATTCAGCAAATTGTTAAAACCTTTCGAACTATACTAATAGTAAACGAGTACAAGGCATCATAGGAAGGCATTATTTCCAATAATTGACGCATACGTTGATCATGACTGGCAATATCTGCAAATTATTGATTTTAAAAATTTCATCAAAAATGAAAGAAAAATGATGAAAATGATTGTTATCATTTACCTGATCCTTTATGTTGTAGTATGGAGAAATTATCTTGTTGCAACCTTTCGATATGCTCTAAGCATGATTGATAAGCATTTTGTTCTCGAAACGATTGGTTGATAATCTCAAAAATTTAATCAGTTACTGATCGATGAAATTATGCAATATAAATAATATATAAATATCAGAAGAATATGTATTGGAACTTTAGCTGACCGCTTGACTATTCTTCATCATTTCCGCTTTTACAGCTTGAAGTTTACTATCGAAAATTTTTAACTTCTCTTCTACACTATCAATTGTTGCTGTTGCTTTTGTGACTATTCGATCATTAACTGATAATTTTTCCAATGCTTCATTAAGACGACAACGATTGCGTAATATTCCAATCTGTATGAAAATGAAAAAAAGTGAGGGAAAAAGAAAGTTAAAAGATAAAATGAAATAAACAAACTGTAATTTTAAAAATTTCAAAATAATTGTTACCTGTTTTTGAAGAGTATTCATTCGTGTTGCTAAATTAGAATGTTCCATAGATTTTTCACGTAATTGTTCAATCAATCGATTATTTCTATTTCTGATTATTATTAATTCATTTCGTATTTTTTCATTCTCATCAAGAATTGCTCGATTATCTGCAAATATTCAGTTACTGTAGAAATTTGATCAATTAACAAAGAATGTAGAAATGTAATAAAAATTTATTTAAATATTTCAACAACACAAATCAATAATCTAAAACTAATACAGATAGTTTTACCTCTTTTCAAATAATTGAAATAATCATTAATTATTTTAATTTTTTAATAAACATATATTCTTAAGTTTTATTTACGAAAAATTTAGAAGAAATTTTGAAATTTCATCATATTTTTGTCTGCTCAAAAATGATAGATACATACCGGATATTCCGCGATTTGAAAAACGATTCTGTTGTGCAGTTGATCTGGAACCATTTAAATCTGGACAAATGATATTTTTCGATGTGCTATCAGAACGTTCATTGTGATGATCATCATCACTTTCTTCACTGACCGTTATTGAATTCTTACCACGTGAACATTTTTGATTTTCTTGTTCCTTCTAAATTGTAGAGTTTAAAAAAAAGAAAACAAAATATTTTTTCTTCATTTTTGTTGTTTTGCTATTTTTATCGAAAAAGAAAATTATTAAAAAAAATTTATATTAAAATAATTTTATTTATAATTAAGTACAGAAATGAAATCATAGCAGAAAAAATGAATTTACATGTTGACGTTGAATGTGATATTGTTTAGGAGCCTGAAGCAATGAATGCTTATTACCACCATTCAATTCATCATTGGCGCTCTTGTCAGTTGATTGGCTATTCTTACTTGCTATCGTTGAATTACTCCACTTATCTTAATAAATTATTTATATATACATATATTTGGAATATTTTGAAGAAAAAAGAGAAAAAGAAAATGAGAATATCGTTCATTTTCAGATGAAAACGTACGATAGGTAAGGATGATCATACCTTTCAGTTGTACAAGGATGATCACACCTTTCATTTATATAAAGATGTCCACACTTTTCATTTATATAAGGATGATTACATCTTTCGATTGATGGTGTCACTTTTCATTTGTATTTCATCTTTTTATTAAGTCTATCGCAGATGTCCGGATAATTATCATCTTAATTGAATTTCGAATAAAACTAGTTGAATCGAATAATTACCGCTTCGTGTATTATTGTCCGTGGAATGAACCGAACTGCTTTCACTAATTTTACGTTTCCGTTTCTTTAACACCACTTTACAGGTTATTGTTTCTTTTTTCGATTCAACTAATTTTTCTTTCTTCTTTTTTAAACCAATTATTTCGAAGAAACCACCTGTTCGACTTGATGCTAAAAATGCTAATAATAATTCAAATATCAGCCTTTGTTTTTCTTTCAGTGATAAATCTAAAGTTAATGGATAACGATTATCAAAAAATCAAAATATCACATTACTTTATTAATATTTACGCATATTAAATCTACAGTCAAAAGATCCATGATATTCAAATTATCAACAGCAATTGCATGAATTTCATCATTTTTCGCTTTCATTCATATATTTATGATCCTAAATTTGTTGTTCAATTTCCAACTAATCTCCAGTAGTTCAATGATAAAAATACTAGAATATGAATTAAATGAAATATCAATAATTTAAAATTCATAAAATTCTTACCCATATTTTCGGAATGATCACGAGATGATGCAGATGAAGGACTTGTTCGTTCCGATACTGATGATACTTTGGAGCGTTTCATCGTGGCACGACTTCCTCGTATCTTACTACTCCCACCTCCATAATTTGGTAATGCAACCTAAATAAATTAAACCAAAAACTTTTTTTTCAGAATGATTGTTTTCGTGCTTAGCAACTCTTTCATCTTTTTCAAATTTTGTAATAGTAGTGAAATGGAATGATAATTTATGGGTGCACACCCATTTCAGAATATTCCAAAATAAATCAATTCAGTATTGGGATAGCAAAATAATGGAATACATATTTTATCAACAATTTGTCACTTTGTAACTTTTTATTAACAATTAAAGTACGAGAGGCCTAACTTCTGTAAAAATGGGATGTTCTGCATCAGAATCAAACATTTCTGGCACAATCACTGGTGGAGCAGGAATTTGGCGTGTTACTGCTAAAGTTGTTCGGAGTGGATCCGATACATCCGAAGAAATATCTGTTGAATAGGAACTTGCCGTTAGACTTTCCTATAATAATATTTTATTATTTTCCAATCAACCCTAAATTATACAAACATAAATATGTCATTTTAGATTTGCTAAAATCCAATAATTCCAACAGGAAACTATCAAGATTAAATTTCTAAATTTTAGATTACATAAATCAGCATTTTGATAAAATCCTAAAATGAAATTGTAAACCACTCGTTGCTCGCAAAATGAATTAGCAATCGCGATATACAAATGGTTCTAATTTGTTTTAAAGTCAAAAATCATTGGAAAAAATTTTTTTGAAAATTGAATTTAGTAAACAGATATAATTTGCAAAATGGATGGAGTTTAGAAATGTAAGATGAAATAAATGTTCGATGGTTGTTGTAATTTATGTTCTATTTCAAAAGAGCTCTTCCTATTTTCAATTGTATTGTAATCAATCAACCAATTTCTGTTTATTTAATTACCGGAAGACTTTAATTATTTCTTTACTACTATAATAAAGAAAATTTTTTATTGTGATAATTTGTTAAATCTATTAAATTTACGCTATTAAAAAATTTTTTTGTTTCAATTTTTCTTTTAATTTAAAATAAGAAAAAGAAAAGAATTAAATCAAATTTTATATTCAATAAATTTATTAAATTAATATTTCAAATAATATAGTATAATTAATATAGTATAATAATATAGTATAATTAAACTGATATTTCAAATTATATATATATCATATGCATATATACACAAATTTAATACATATAAATGTATGAATTGTTTTTAAAAAAATAAAAATTAATATTAATAGCTTGCCTTATGTGGTGGTGTAGATAAGCGTTCATGTGCGCCATTTTTTATTTCACATTGATGAAAAGTTCGCCGACCCATGATTTTTGGGATAATATTACTTCGGCCTTCGAGAATAGCACTAACTCGATGGACAACACTACGTTTTGGCTCAACTGCCATACTAAGCCGATAACGTAATGCTTTATTCTCCCGACGAAGTTTGCTAATTTCACCAACCAAACTACACAATGCTCCTTGAACGTTTTAAAAAAAATTGTTCAGTAAAAATCTTTGATCATAGATGAATAATGGTCACATCATCATTTAATGTTCAAATTGTTGAAAATTTTCAGCTTAACAGTTTAACAGTTTAATGATTATAAAACAATGTTTTAAAATATACAACTATACTTTTTATTAAGTTCGCAAAATTGCTTCCAAATTAATAGAAAATTTTAATTTAATTAAATTTTCCATTGTTTTTATTTTAGGCAATAACTGAAAGAAATTTCTTTCTACAAAAAGGGAAGAAATTAATAAAGGATAAAAATAAACTCGTATAAGTTACCGTAATCTTAATTTGTTACATTTTATAAAATAATTTTAGGAAAATTCTATCTGATTAAAAAGAAGATAGGATAGTTTACAATTTCTGATGATACTAATAATAAAATGTAATCCAATCATTTCTTCATTTTTTATTTTAAAATTGGTTAAATTTTATCCTTTCAATTAATTAATTAATTACGCCTATTAAGCAAAAGAAAAAAAAAGAAATGTTTTAATTTAAATAATGAAAAGATAAAATTAAATTTGAATTTATTAAAATCATTTAACTAATTCCAACAATATAATTTGTTTCTTTTAAATTAAATACTTTTTTTTTATGATAAGATTAAATTTGAATTTATTCAAATCATTCAACTAATTTCAATAATACATTTAAATAATTATAATTTGGTTTCTTTAATTGCTTTAATTTAATTACTTTTTATTTTTATTTTTTTGCAAATCATAAAATTAAATAAATTCTCTTTTTTTATTCTTTCATTTTTTCTTCTTATTTAAATTTCATTATATAAAATAAAAGAAATGTCAATTTTACTAAAATCATTTATTAATGGTTTTAGAATGCTTTTCATAATGAAAGTGGAATGAATGACAAATGAGAAATATTCATCTATTAATGGAATGAATTTTTAGATTTGAGTAATAATGGGTTCAATTCAATCTCCATAAATTTATGTTAAGGAAGTGAAATTTACTTTTACTACAAATTCCTTCCATTTTACATTTTCGTCATATCCTTTCTTTCTTCCCTTTTAAATTAAAAAATCAGTGATTTTTCTTATTTGAATAAAAAAAAGAACGGAAATATATGCTATTTACAAATTACATAACTTTATTGGTTTGTGGTTGTTAGTAAGATTAAACGAACAACAACAATAACATTAAAAGAAAGAAACTTCAGAAAACTTTTAATTTTGTCATTTTAACTTTTATTATATCATTTCAAAAATTAAATTTCATTAAGACAATAAATTTTAAAAACATTTTTTTTTTTCAAAATATATTTTCTAATAATAAACAATTTTACAAATCGTTAAAGAGTTTTTGTCTTTGTTAATGTATGAAACAGTAATAATTTGAAATTTGTTAAATATAAAAATTTTAATGATAATAATTTATAGAAAAAAATTTTAACAAATTATTAAATGTAAAAAAAATAATTTTTGATATTTTAGTTTAATTGTAAAATTTACTTTATTGATAATGATTTAATGAATTAGTATCTGTCAATTATAATATCTTTGATAATTTTAATTGTAAAATTTACTTTATTGATAATGATTTAATGAATTAGTATCTGTCAATTATAATATCTTTGATAATTTTAATTGTAAAATTTACTTTATTGATAATGATTTAATGAATTAGTATCTGTCAATTATAATATCTTTGATAATTTTAATTGTAAAATTTACTTTATTGATAATGATTTAATGAATTAGTATCTGTCAATTATAATATTGTTTGAAAATTTAATTTATTCAATTAAATCATTAATCTTATTGAACTTTTTTCCTATTTTTTCTTATTCTCTCACTTCTTAAAATAATTTGGAAACGAACGAGAGCTATTTAGATAGAAAAAGATTTTACAGCTAATTAATTAATTAATAGTCCTATTAAGATTGTATTCAATTTTACTTTTAAATAATTTCGAAATCAAAATAATACATTCAATGATTATAATTTTTGATTACTAAAATTGACATCAATTTCATAATATAATATTATTTGAAAAAAAAAATTTTTTCAAAATTTTCAATTCAATTATTATTTTTTAATTACAAAATTATTCAAAAGTAATATTAACGTTTCATTGTTTTTTTCCTTTTCCTACCTGATAATTTTACAACTATACCAAAAAACTTGTTATTATTTATATAAATAGAAAAAGCAACCTATACCTGATAGTTTTACAACCATACCAAAAAACTTATAATTATTTATATAAATAGAAAAAGCAAAAATTAACCTGAAATTATTCGCATATTTATTTATGAAATTTATTTCATTTATGCATTCATTTATAGATTTTCATTTACCTATATTAAATTTTTTGTTAATTAAATGTAAAAAATTAATGATTAATTTTAGTTTAATTGTAAAGCAAAAAAAAAAAAACAAGAAGAAAAATTAGCTAACATTACCAAATATTGGAACTTCCTCGTAAAATGTTGTTCTTTCGGTAATTTGATTTTGCATACCTTCCAATTCTCGTAAAAATTCATCTTCTTCACATTCATATCTAATAATTTTAAAAATAATTAATTACATTAATTTAGTATAGCTAATATACTTTTTGCTTAAACGGACGATATCTTCCTTATTTTCTCTCTCTCTCTCTCTCTCTCTCTCCCTTCATTTTATTATTTCATAAAAATTTGATGGAAAGGAGTGAGAGAATAGGATATAGGATAATAACACTTTTTTAAGTGAATTGAAGCAAATCCATTTTATTGCCTCTAACATTTTTACATTTAACCATTTTAATATTTGACATCGTTGTTCGATTCATTTAAAAATATCTATCCATTATCATATAAATGATTTTCTATTCTTTTTCTTTAAATTATATTTTTAAAAAATAAAATTAAAAATATTTCTTTTATTTTTGGATAATTATTGATGCATTCGCTAATAATAGCATTTAAATTTAACGGATAAAATTGCTTCTTTTTAAGTGATAGAAATGAAATTTGAATTCCCAAATGTCGAAAAGTTTGTTGTTTTGTTGAATTACTTCCTTTTTTTTTTCAACATTAATTGTTTTTTTTGCATTTAAAAAGAACAAAAAAAAAAACAATTAATTATTCATCATTGCTTTGTTTGATAAAATGATAATTAAATTAGATTAGAAATGATAATTTATGAAATAAATCGTTTTCCACACTTACTTCCAATGAATGTTCTTTTTTTTTATTGTTCACATTTTTATTGCTAATAATCTTTGGGAATAATTAAAGATAAAATCTTTGGGAATAATTAAAGATAAATTATTTTATCACGGATAATGAATGTAGAAGTGGGAGAAGAAAAACAAAATTACAAGAAGATAAAAGAAAAGAGGGAAAGATTGAAGATGAAATATGAAATTAGGCGATCATAGAATTATAATTATAAAATTTAAATTAAAATTTTAGATTATAAAAGTTGATAAATTGATTTTTTGTATGTCTTTTCTAATCATTATTATCATCATCATCTCTATAATTATCATTATTATCACAATCAATTATCAAATTTAATTCTGATATATTTGATTCGAAAGGATTTATCTAAATTCATTTCTCCTACCAATTGAAACAACAACCAGTGCGCATATTTATCACTTATAAATGTAGAAAAATTGATAAAAATTAATCAATTGTTTGAGATGTAAGAAAACAAAAGATCTTCTTTAGTAAGTACCATTTATTTGCTAATTTATAAAGTAACAAATTACTACAAAATAATTATTTTATACAAAACTTATAAAAAAAAAAAAAACTTTTTATTTTCAAATTAAATTAACTAAAATTTTTGATGCTAATTATTACAATGTTTCAATTTTGCAAACTTTCAAACTTTGTTTTTTAAAAGTTTGAAATTTTTGCTAATATAATGAAAATAATAGAAAATGAAAAATGCATTTGTATTTATAATTATTGCCAATTGATGATAATCAAATATCTCTTATAACAAAACAAAATTTTTTTGAATAAAATAATTTTAGGTTTTTAAAAAAATTTCAAAACTATCATTTTTCTCATTTTATGATTTGAAAATTTTCAACTAAATTTTTTTCCTCATATGATCACATCATTTTTTACAATTCACAAAAAAAGTAAATTGATAAATTTCACAAACTTCCATATGATTTACAGTCTAAAATTTGAAACGAAAAAAATACAAAAACAAAGAAACCTGGTGATAATATTTCGTATCACATCATCAGTTGGATTATCATCATCCATCTTTCGGTATTCATTTGTATTTGATGATACAAATCAGCGTCAGTCACTTCATCCTTTTGGTGTATTAAAGTGGTAGTGTAGTTGATAAACAAAATTGTTAGCAGTTGTGATGGGATAAGTCTGATTAAAATTTTCACACAGCATCATCCTTCTTTCCTTCCTTTCTTCTTTCCTTCCATCTTTCCTTCATTCCTTTATTCCTTTCTTCTATCCTTTCTTCATTCCATCTTTTCATCCATCAACACAATATTATTTGCCAAAACTAAGGCGAAATTTTGAATGGAACAACTTTTAAGTGTAAACCATCATTTGATATGCCTCATATTAATTGATGTCCGTGAAAATGAGATGACCCTGTATGAAATAATGAATTACAATTTAAATGACTATCATTCCTCTTCCTCTTTTTCCTCCTTATTCATTCATTCATTCATTCATTCATTCATTCATCTACTCTTCATCTCCTATATCTTTATCTATCTTCCTTCTCTCCGATTAATTACAACAATATAAAATTTCAACAAAATAATTCATTGAAGAATGAAATGAATTATTTTAATTAATTACTATTATATGATTTAAAACAATGAAAACAAATTTGTGTAAAAATTTCATTTAAAAAATAAATGAAATAATTTGCAAGTAATTGTAAAATTTATTAGATTACAGGACAAAAGAAAAATTTAAACCAATTTAAACAAAAATTCTCTACATTTATTATTTTAAAAATTAAATATTATAAGTTGAATTTCTTTTCTTTTTCCGCCTTCTTTTTGTGATAACTTTTTATCAAACATTTAATGCTATTAATTTAAATTAATTATATTTTAATAAATTAATTATATTTAACGATTGTTTCCAAAATTTATATCATACACAAAATTTTAATAACAAAGAAATAAATCAGCGAAATTAAATTTTATGCACCTTTTTCTTATTTATTTTAAAATATTAATAATTTGAAAAAAAATTTTTTCTTTCTTCACTTTTTCTCCTTCACAGCTGTCACTAATAATTTATTGTCTAAAAATAAAATCTTACATTATTAAATATTCACATTATAATTTCCTTTAAATCACCAATATGTCACCAAAATCTGACAAACAAAGTAGAAAATTTTTTAATTTATTTTACTTCACTCAATTTGTTTATTAATTTCATTAGGTAATTAATAATGATAATAGTAGTAGATAGGTAAATAATAATAATAGTAGTAGTAGTAGTAGAAGAAGTAATAGGCTTACAAATATTTTATTTATTTTTAGTGAATTCTCTAAATTTTATGTATGAAAAATTTTTTAGTTTTAATTTTTCAATTGTTTTATTTATTTGTTTACTTTATCAATTAATCATTTAATTAAAAAATTTAAATGAAAATTATTTGTTTCATTTTTATCGTATAAAATCTTTTTTTAATCTTCAAACAATAAAATGTTATCAATTAATAAAAATTTGGAAATTTTGAAATTTTATAAATGGCATCATTATTTAATATGATAAGTGTACATTATCAACATTTAAATCAGATAACTTATCAGAATAGTTCATTAATTCTTGATCAATCAACAGTGTTGAAATATGCTTTTAATATTTTCAACTGACAGATATCTTTAATTTTTTATACAAATCAGTAAATTTTCATCTTTTTTTTTGTTTTTAAATTTATAACAATAAATTATTAATTATATTCATTAAAGGATAATTTTAATTATTATTTATTATATTCATTAAAAAATTGTTTTTATTATTATTTATTATATTCATTAAAAGATTGTTTTAATTATTATTTATTATATTTATTAAAAGATTGTTTTAATTATTTATTATATTTATTAAAAGATTATTTTATTTGTATAATATTCATTAAAAGATTATTTTACTAAAAGATAAAAATTACTATAATTGAAATTTTTCAAAACAAAAAAAGAACAAACAAATAAATAATGAGAAACTTATAAGAGAGAAAAATAATGTGAAAATATCAGCTCATTAACAATTAATTATGCAAAGGTATAAAGCAAAGAGAAAAGAGTGAAAAAGTTAAATGAAAAACAAAAGATATAAGATGAAAAATGAAACTTCAGGGATTTTTAACAAAATTTTTTTTCACTCTTAAAACAAATGAATAATATGTAAAATTGCATTTATGATTCCTATATAACATATATTTATCATAGAAATGTCTTTTCCAATGTTTTTAGTTTTCTTCTTTTTTAATTTTATAGTTTATAAAATTAATCGAATGACATAATTGAATGGCAGTAGTATTATAAGAACACAATATTAAATTCAATTGCATTTCTTGAATTTATATCCAATACTACAATGAATTTCCTTAATCCATTTCTGGAACTTTATCAATAATTAAATTTAACCTAACTTAATATTGAAGTACCATAATGAATATCCTTAATCTATTTCTGGTGCTTTATCAATGATTAAGTTAATTAATATTGAAGTACCATAATGAATTTCTTTAATCCATTTCTGATAGCCTAAATTGATATTGAAGTACCATAATGAATTTTCTTAATCCATTTCTGGTGTTTTATCAATGATTAGGTTTAGCCTAAATTAATATTGAAGTGCTAAAATGAATTTTCTTAATCCATTTCTGATGTTTTATCAATGATTAGGTTTAGCCTTAATTAATATTGAAGTGCTATAATGAATTTTCTTAATCCATTTCTGATAGCCTAAATTAATATTGAAGTACCATAATGAATTTTCTTAATCCATTTCTGATGCTTTATCAGTGATTAATTTAGCCTAAATTAATAGAATAAAAATGGATTAATTCCATTTATTTAATCATATTTCATGGAATTAAATTAAAAGAAAAAAAGGATTGTGTTTCATTTTAATCATTTAGTATCAAAAATTCCAATTTAGGGCTTGTTTATTTCTTCGTAAAATGTTTTTATAGCATTTTTGTTGTATGTTATACATCCTCCAGACATACTTAACTTCATCCAAACTATTTTTTTCTATTTCGCAATCTATAAAAGGAAAAAGTTTTTTGAATGTTTTCAATCGGTTTAATTAACTATCCTTTTTTTCTCTTCTTCTCCTTTTTTTTTTAAACATCATTTTAAATCTGTAATTACTTTTAATTGCAATTTATTTTATTTTATTTTTCTTATTTCCTATTATAATAATTATTTTCCACAATGTTGTATTATTATTTGTTTTAAAACTAATTTACCGATTGATCTATCAGTTAATTCTGGGATTGTTTTTTTGAAAAGATAGCAATTAGTTGAAAAAACAAAATATTCCTATCAAATATTATATATTTTAACTTTGTAGCTTTATAATATAATTATATATTTTTTATTTTAACTTTATAATATTATATATTTTAACTTTATAGCAATAAATTTTTATGATAAGTTTATAATAGTATAGTTTATGATATATAAATTTTTATGATAGTATGTTATATTTGTATTGCTATTAAGTTCAAGTATAACATACTTAGATTTAATTTTAATGATAACAAACTATAAAGTTAAAATATAACATATTACTATTATCATTAGAATTAAATCTAGGCCATTAATTTGATAACACATTTTATTCGATTCATTTGTTTTGATGATAAAATAAGTTTATCAATGTGATAAGTTTAATCTAACATACTACTATTATCATTAAAATTAAATTTAAGCCATTAATTTGATAATACATTTTATTCGATTCATTTGATTTGGTGATAAAATAAGTTTATTAATGTGATAAGTTTTTTTTCCACATCACAATATAGTAGCATTTAATATGATAATCCAAACTTTTCAATAATATAGTAAAAATTCTACCTTTAGTGATATTTATCTTATAATTGAATAATTTATCAGAGTGTAATGAATTTAAATGAAAGCGATATTTTGACGGAAATTCCAATAAAGTTTATTTTCAGCTCTTTTTTCCACCATCCTTTCAACCTTATTCATCCGCCTTTAGTATCTAAAAATATTAAACTTTTAAAATTACTACAGTTTGTTTTCATTTACAACTTTATTTACAACTTTAGCCAATTTCCTATTCTTTTTTAAACTTTCATTTTTAAATTTATTTTACAGTATTGATTATTTTCTTGTATATTTTAAATTGATGCTTATCTTTTAGAAAATATATAATTTTATCTGATTATTGTTAATGATAAATGATTTGAGTAAAATGATAAAGTATAATTTAAGCCTAATTGCATTCAACGATTTAATAACTTTGCGAGAGAGAGAGAGAGAGAGAGAGGGAGAAAACCATAATTTTATAATTAATTTAATTTTTACTAAAACATATCTTTTTAGCTAAAATTATTTCATTCAATAAATTTCACTTTTTCTAAGCAAAATTAAATATTTTATTTCAATTTTTCAACATTTAAAAATTTTTAAATTTAAATAAAATTAATTAATTTCTAATTAAAAAAAGGAACAAAAACAAAAAGAGTAAAATTAAAAAAAAAAAGAAAATGGAAAAAAGTTTGCAATAAAAATATTAAATTTTAGATGGAAAAAAGAAAGCTCAGATTAAAAAGTACTAAATAAATTTTGAGAGAAATTAAATTGAATGAAATTTATCAATTATAATTAAGCTGTCACTTTTTGTTTTCATCGTTTTCTTTTTTCTTAATTACAACCTTATTGTTATATTCTTCCCTAACGTTTTATGTTTATAACGTTTAGCATTTGATTGAATTTTCTCTGATTGTTCTAATTCTATCAAAATTATCAATAAGCATAGTTATCTGTCTGATTAAAAACAATTGAATGAATTCCAAGGCAATTTTAAATCATACAATATTCAATTATTATTTTGATAATAAAAACAAAAGAATATTTCAGATTACTTATTTATTTAATTAATAATGAAGTATTCAATGAAATGTTTGAAAAATTTACATCTCAATTCTCCGATCGATGATTTTTTTTATCAGGTTAGTTATCAATAATTTGTTAACAATTGTAAATATATATATATATAGATATGAGTGATATATATATATGGTTATGATATGAATGATAAAAAGTGAATTTAATTATTGTTTTTGAAATTTTAATTAATTAAAATTCCATAATTTTTTTTTGCGAATATATTTCAGAAATATTCCCCTCTCTCTTTTATCCTTTTAATTTTCATTTTAAAAAACCAAATGTTATTGAAAATATTAAAAATCTTATTGAAAGCTGTCAGCAACATTTTGTTGATATCATTTAAACAATTTCATATTGAAATTAAAAAGTTTTTTCACAGTTATTATTTAGATAATTTGTTCGTTGACAATTTTATCACATTTTAATTTATTTAACATTTTAATTATTTATTAATTGCGTCTGTTTACTAAACGTTAGTTGACAAATTTTATTATAAATGGCTTGAAAATTATGCATTAAAAGGATTATAAAGAAATTAAAATTTATTACTGAAAAATTTGATGAATAAAAATTTATGATAAATTTACTTTTAGCATTTTTTTTAAATGAATAAATGATTAATTATCTGATTAATAAATGAAATCTTAATTTATAAATAATTATATATATATAGTTGAAATAATAAATTTAAAATATTGCAAAATTAATAAATGAACTTAATTTATAAATAATTTTATGCATATAGTTAAGAACTAAATTTATCAATAATTATTATATATATATGTAGTTAAGATATTAAATTTAAAATATTGCAAATATTTAATCAAAAATTTCGCAATAAATTATATTTTATTCATTTCTTTTTCCATACTTATTTTGCAAAAAAATTTTTCGTCTTTTTTTAACCTAAAAAAAACGAAGTTTAAAAAATATTAGAAAGTTGAAAATCAAATAAAAAGTTGCATGTATCATTTTGAAAAATATAACTGATAGTTTTGATGTAGTAGTTAGGAGAGAGAGAGAGAGAGAGAGAGAGAGAGAGGGAGGAAGAAAGAAAAGAAAGTTTTAAAAGTTGAATAATAAGTAGAAAATGATGAAAATGAAAAAGGCGGAAAAAAAAACAATTTATAACTAATTAATTCGTTCAATTCATTTAATGTTTAATTACATAACAATTGTTTTAATACTCAATCAACAATGGAAAAAAAAAACCGGCTGGTAACAATTATTCTTTAATTTCATTTTTTATTTTAGAGAAAAAAAGGCAAAATTACGAAATATTATAATTTTAGGGAAATATAAGAAGAAAAAGGGGCAATTTACAACTATTTTAAAAGAAGAGAAAGTTAACCCATGAGACAAGAGATTACTAAAATAAGCAGCCATTTTTTGACAATTTGTTTTATTTGTCAATAAATGAAGTTTTTATCGTATGACTGATTGAAAAATGAAAAAGGAAGAAAAGGGTGGCAGCAAGAGATTAATGGTTTTTATTTTTCAATCAAAAATAAAAGAAAGAGAGAAAAGTTTTGAAATATTGAAGAATAAAAGAAAGAAAGATCGAAATAGTTATATGTTCGTTTTAATTTTCAAAAATTTCAAACTATTTTTTAAATTGTGAAAAAAAAACAGGCTAATTAATTTTTGTATGAAATAATATATTATATATTTATTCATGGCGAAATAATGTATTGAAATAATTTTATTAGTTAAGAATTTATCATTAAGGCTGTTTAAGAAATGATCATATAAATATTCGGTTAAATTAAATTAAGAAATGATCATATAAATATTTGGTTAAATTGGTTAAAATAATTGTTTTTATAAATTTATTAAATTTAAAATGAATTATTTCAAGTTGTTATTAATAAATAGAATTTAGAAATTTAATTCATGCAAATATTTAAAAACAATTATTTAAGAATTTATAATTATGAATGTTTAAATATTCGGTTAAATTGGTAACAATTAAATTAATAAATGATCATATCAAATATTTAAAAATAATTATTTAAAGAATTTATAATTAAGGCTGTTTAAATATTCGGTTAAATTGGTAACAATTAAATTAATAACTGAATAAATTTTTAATAAAGCAAAAATATAATATAATACTATTACCATTTACCATATAATCAGTTTTATTAATATTTAGCTAATTTTTTAAAAATTTGTTTATTTGTTTATTTTTAATATTTCATTTCATTTATTGTTAAAATAATATAGTAATTAAAATAAAATTTATGCTACAGAAAACAGAATTTACGATTTTATTTTTAAGTAAAATTAAATACTTTTTGAAAAAAATAATTTTCAATTTTAATTCAAAATTTTATTTCAAATTATTTTTAACTTTTAAATTTCTATTCATACAAAAATTTATAATAATTTTTAAAAATAAAAACAAAAAGGTAAAAATATAATTTAAGAAAGAAATATTCATAATTATTTGTAAAGATAATTATTGGTTAAGAATGTTTGATATGATCGATTTTATTTTAGACAGCATTTCCAATTCAATTTGCCGTAACAATTATTGGCAATACATTAACTTTATCAGTGCTGCTTAATCGAAGTATGCGAAATCGGTAAATTAATTTCTTTATTTTAAATTAATCATCGCTTATCATCGCTTTTTAATATTAATTAAAATTAGGAAAATTCTAAGATAAAAATGGGAAAACGAAAGATGCGAGAATGAAAATAAATAATACCTAAACAAATAATCATATTCATACTGTGTAGTACATTATCACAGATAATCATATCATACTGTTTACATTGTCAACAATTCAAATTGTAATAACAACTCTATTAATTTATTATTCAATTTTATTTATTCATTTATCATTTATCACTTATTTATTAATTTAGAGCAAATCATTTATTAGCAGCATTAGCATTCGCTGATATAGCCGTATTCATCTTTATGTTACCCACAAGTTTATCAGCATTACAACGATTTTATGAAAGCACAACATTTCGCATAATTTTTGCGCATACAAAAACTTACTTTGCAGCATTAGCAAATTGGTTCTCTTGTTCTGCTATATGGTTTGTTAATTATTAAATTATATTTTATAATCCTAAAATTTATAATGATATTTATGAAATTTGAAAAAAAGATATAATTAAGGTATTAATTTCTTTTAACTGTATTAGATATAGTTTTCTTATTCAATGTAAATTTGCCATTTTATTTTATTTCATAGTTACAGGATTGTACTTGCAGTATCTGCTGAACGATTACTGATAATTAAATTTCCATTTCGATCATTAAAACAATATCATGTGAGTGATTTTAATAATTTCAAAAAATTTCTTCAATAATACTTGAATATACAAAAGATTTTCGTAATTAATTCTAATTAAAATTCTAATGAAGTATGAGAAAAACGATAAATAATCGTTATCACATCAAAAGCATTCAATGATGAAACAATACGATATATTACTAAAAAAATAAATGATATAAATTTGATTGCAATTTATCATTTTTCTGCTTTTTTTTCCAGGTATTGGAATCAATCATTATCATAGTTGTGGTATTTGCACTCACATTAATATTAACAGGGTTATTTGCTTCATATATCATTCGTGCACAAATGAATCGTTTACAGTATTGCTACTGATATTGTATTGTAATGTAGAAGAAAAGTTTATCAGTAATCTTGTTGATCAATTAAGGATCAAATATCAGATACTCTGAATTATTATTTTTTTTTAATAGCAATAATAAATGGTTAATGGCACGGATAGCTGATACCTGATATATGAACGTGTGAATGATATCGTAAGCTAAATAAATAAAATAAATGAACAATTTTAGCTATCATTATTTTTCCTATCATTGTGCTGTTCTATGGGTATGCAATATGACCCAGGTATATGTGAAATGCTTACCGGTAATCTGGAATTGGACTGAATTTGGTTTAACACCATACTATCAACCATCTAGTCGATTTATATTTTACATGAATACAAGTGTTATTGCAAATGCTTTTATTGGTGTTATCATTCCTGTCTTTATTGTTGCATTTCTTAATGTACATCTAATACATCTATTACAAATTAGAACTCGGCAGGTATTATTTTTTAATTCTTTTTTTTTAATTACATATTTTAATTTTCTAATTAAATTTAAACTTTCTAAAAAGAAAAAAAAAACGGATGAAACAATTTCAGACAATAAATTGAATACTTTTGTAATAATTTAATTCCACTGTATGATAAATTTCAATGCCAAAGAATAATTAATTATTATTAACAAATTAAAGTTAATAATTAAAAAAAAAGAAATCCCAAAAAAAAAGATTTTAAATATCAATTGAATTTAAATTGAAATGAATTTTCGAAATGCACTTAATATGTTTGAGTAAAATTAATTTTCAAAATTCCAAATGTCGGAAGAGAAAAGATTCAAAATTTGTGTCATTTTATCTTGACCTCTAATATCTATAATTTTCAAAAATTTGTTTAAACATATTTCATTTCTACCCCTTAACATTTCATTAAAATAAAAACTTATGATTGATTTTGCGTTTAAAATTTTTCCAATTATCACCTATTTTTTTTTAACATGTCAATTGATATTAACATTTGTAGGCTAGAAGTGCGAAAGTATTCCTAGGACCAATAATTGATGGTATCAACATTTATAGGCCAGAAGTGAGAAAGTATTCCCAGGATCAATAATTGATGATATCAACATTTGTAGGTCAGAAATGAGGAAGTATTCCTAGGACCAATAATTGATGGTATCAACATTTATAGGCCAGAAGTGAGAAAGTATTCCCAGGATCAATAATTGATGATATCAACATTTATAGGCCAAAAATGAGAAAGATCAATAATTGATGATATCAACATTTGTGGGTCAAAAATGAGGAAGTATTCCTAGGATCAATAATTGATGATATCAACATTTATAGGCCAGAAGTGAGGGAGCATCTCTTGGGTCAGCATCGAACAATTTTTGCGAACAAGAACGAAAAATGACAGTAACAATCGCAGCAATAGTAACATGCTTTACGATAACACAATTACCATCAGCAATATTATTCCTTTATGAGAAAATAATTAGTGATGCAAAAACGGAAACATTTGCTAAAATATCCTGTATTACCAATTCTTTGGTACTTACCGGAAAAATGTTGAATGTTGTGTTATTCTGCTTAACGAGTGATTCTTTCAGGTAAATTATCACTCTGTATCATTTTTTCTAACAATTAAAGTAATATAAATTTTCAACTTAAAAAAATTCATAAATCTGAAATTCTTTTATATTATAATATGCCAAGTGGTAATAAACAAGAAATCAATAACTTTTAGATTTGGTAAATCATTAATTAATCATAATCACTTCTTTCATTCATCATTTTGTTTTATTTATGTCAGAAGAGGAGAAGAGAGAGAGAGAGAGAGAGAGGGAAGGAAAGCGAAAAAGAAGAGATGTAGAAGAGAAGCTTTCAATATAATTTCTTATTGCATTTCAGGCGGAAACTTTTTGCCACCGTAAATATTTGGTATCGGAAGTGTACTTGCCAGCAGAAAAAATATTTGCATAATATCAGCAATTTTAATCGTTCAGTTACTCAGAAATCATCACTTTTTAGTACCACATCATTCCATAATCAACGATCTCGTCAATTTTCTCGTAATCGAGGTTGGTCACTGGCACAAGTGAATGATAAAACTGAAATCATTCCAATGAAGATTAGTCAGTGATAATGATAATAATAATTAATAATGTTCTTATGATAATAATTAATAATTGTCATAATTAATTATGTCAAACATATTGATCTATAAGGTATTAAAAATTAAAGAATGCAAGAAGAAAGTTTCGTTTTCCAAAAGAGAAAAAGAACGCTTACTATTAATACTATTTGTTTTCTTGGAAATAAAATCATGATAGTTTCAAAATTTAAGAAAAAAAAAAGGAAAAACAAAAGAAACTAATTAATTCTTTGTCTCTCATTAAACATTCGTACAGGTGAATAAATAGTAATGAATTAATTGTTTTTTAAAATTTCAAAAAATGAATGGTAAATTTAAACTTTCTCCTTTTTCTTCAACGATGAAAAATTTGTCTTTTCTTTTTACTTTTGTTTCCAGATTATTTTTTCTATAAACATTAATTGAAATGCATAATTGTTAATGTTGATATCAGTAATTTATAATAGCGCAAATAAATATATAAAGTAAACAAAATTAATATATGTAAACAAAATACGTAAACAAAGTTAATTAAAATAAAATTAATTTAAATGAATAAAAAGCAGATGATATAGATCATGAAACTTTTATCTGTACTATAAATGATAATAAATGGTTACAACATTTTATTCCAACCTTATATCTGCATGATTGATTGATCGATCAATCATAATTGAATCAATCGATACTTTTTTTTTCCATTTATTCTTTGTCCACTTCTCGTCCACTCTTTGTCCGCTTATGCTTTTGTCTACCTACGCTCTTTACATTCGTTATATATCATATCTTTCTTTCTCTCTTTGCTCATCTCATTTAACTGCAAACATTCTAATTTAAATGTGTCTTACTTACATCCTAAATTTGCTAATTAAAAATGAAACGATTTTTTAAAAACGATTATTTTAAAACAATGAAAACATTTTTCTTATTAATTAGCATTAAATTAAGTTAAATTTCAAAGAGAAAAGAATCAGCAAAAGAATTCAATTTTAGAAAAAAAGTTTTAATTTAAAAATAAAAAGAATTTTTTGAAAATCGAATATTTTTTAATTTCTTCATATTAATTAGCATTAATTAAACAACAGAGAAATAATTATAAATACAAAAAATTTTTAATTTTTTTTTGAAATTTGAAATATTAAAATAAATGAAAATTATATTAAATGAAAATAAATTATTTCGATATTTTCCCATTAAAGTTTTGGAAATCAAATAGATATTGCTATACCGTTAAATTAAATTCATTATTTCATTTCTGATTTTAATAAAACATTTCGATATTCCATTAATGTGTTAGAGCATTTCGATATTTTTCCATTAAAGTGCTGGAAATCAAATAAGTATTGCTATATCGCTAAATTAAATTCATTATTTCATTTCTGATTTTAATAAAGCATTTCGATATTCCATTAATGTGTTAGAAATCAAATAGGTATTGTAATATCGCCAAATTAAATTCATTATTTCATTTCTGATTTTAAATTTTTATTTCAAACTTTTTCATATACTATTCATTCTTTCTCTTTTTCTTTTGTCGCTTTTTTACATTATTCATAAAAATTTTGGTTATTGTTAAATTCAAAATTTTCTATCTCATTTTATTTCATAAGAATTAATAAAATCATAAATATTTTTCCCCCTCTCTGTTTCACTCTCTTCCTCTCTCTCTCTGTCTCTCTCTCTCGCTCTTATTAATATTTTTGTTTTAAATTATAGATTTAATTCTTGGCAATTATATCAATTATAAATCTTTTTACATATGAAAAATTATTGTATCCAATAATTGATGCACAATATTTGCAATATTTTCCATTATCAATTTCTATCTATCCTACCTGTTTATGAAAGATATCAGGTAAAAAAAGAAATTTAAAGCTTTTTACGACTATTTTATTAATTAATTTAATTTTAGCAATTAGATATATCAAATCTATGAAATATCAAAATTACGAAATTACGTTCATAAAATTATTTTATGTTTTTGTTTTTTTTTGCAATTAAACGAAAATAATTTTAAATGAATTTCTTTTTTTTCAATTTAATTAAACGAAAATAATTTAAAACGAATTTCTTTATTTAATTTAATGATAAATTTATATGACTGAGTGATAATTTAAATTTTAAATGGTACTGATAAGATAACATATTTTTTTTTTTGAAGAAAAATTTAACTTTAATTTAACTTCAATTATTCGCACTTTACAAAATATGATTTCGTCATTTTCTATTTTTGTTTATTGTGAATTATTTCATTAATAATGCAAATTATAATTAATTGTTTACTGAAATTCAATCTCTTTTTTTTACTTAATCATTTCATTTGCAAATTTAATAATTTCAAATTAGATGTACGTGTTAATTGTGTAATTAAAATATTTCAAATAATCGTTATAAAATTCAACAATATTTTTTTGAACTATCCTAGTGATAAGGAAAACGAATAAATTTAGCAAAAAAAAAAATGATAAGATAAAAGTGATTATCGCTATCACTATTCATTGTTAAATGATAAGCAATCTATATCATATATTGAGAAAACAATTTTTCGAATTATGCAAAAATTAACAAAAATAAATTGAGAAATTTTTAGATTGTAAAAATTTTTATGCTATAAAATTATGTTATAGTAATACCTAAAGATAATTTTTGACTAATTAATAAGTTTAAAAAAATTTTGTTAAGATTATCAATTCAACAACTATCATACTGTTACAATTACACATAAGCCAACTGATAATGATATTGATATAATTGATATATTCGCGTAACAAAAATAAAAAGCAGGACGCAAGAATAGTAATGAAAGAAATGAAACATTTAAATGAATCATTGAAAGCAGCATTTTAATATAAATAATAAAAAGTGTAAACCGGTTTGACAAATAAAAACGGATTCATCTCATCGAACTGATAATTCAATCGTTGAATTTATTAATGGTTAATTAATAATTCATTTATTGTCCGATACATGTTTGTTTGGATAATACATATGTATGTATACGTTAAGAGGCCGTTTGCAACATTTTCAAATTTCCTTTAATTTTTTTCTTTTTTTGTTTAAATTTTATCAGTTTAATTTTTATCACATAAATTATTTATTATAGTTAATATAATGAAATTTAATTTTATAATTTAGAATGTGAATAATTTTAAGCATTATTTTTTTTTCAGTAATTTTTGTTTTCTTTATTTTAGATTTCAAAAATAACTTTTTTTTTCAAATTTTTAATATTTAATTTTAAAAACTATTTAGAGAGAGAGAAAGAGAGTGAGAGAAAAGAAGAAGGAGTGAAAGAAAGAAATGCAAAAATACGAAGGAAAAGATTGAAATAAATGAATAGAGTACGATTAATTTATGCTAAATAATTATATGTCATAATTTATTCTGTTTTTTTTTTAAATTTTCATACTTCTTTATTGAATTATCATACAATAAAAGAAAGAGAGAGAGAGAGAGGGAGGGAGAGGGGAAGATAAGCAGAGAGTGATGAAAATTTTCAGGAAGAATATACTAGCATAGAAAAGAAAGAGAAAAAGAACGGGTTATTTTCTTTTATAGAAAACCGGTAATCGATTTATCCTATATTAACTACCCGAATATTTGAATTGCAATATATTATTGTGAAAAGATACAATTGTATGTCCGAAACGTCAGCTATTATCATTTTCCTTTACTAATTAAACATTACTTAATAATTAATTTTATTAAAAATTAATTTACTAATTATTATCGAAGGTAAAATTTACTTTTTAATTATAAAACGTTTCATTCAATCATTCATTCATTTGCGATATGAATGTTAAGGAAAATATTTTCCTAAACTTTTATAATGTCGTAATCAATTCCGGTGAGATTGCACTATTATTATCATTATTAATATCGGAAATATTTGTCCTATTTTTTTTTTACTGATTATATCGTTATCATTATTATTATCATTCATCACTACTGGAAATTTATTGTGCTGTTTTTTATTGAATACATCGTTATCATCATTAACATCATCTATACTGGAAACTAACTCTCTCACTTATTGGATATTGGCTGTTATCATTATCATCATCATCATTATTATTATCGTTATCTAAACCGGAAATTGATAATCTTTCTTACTGAATATACTGTTATCACTATTATTATCATCAGTACCAGAAACTGATGCCCTATTTTCTATAGGATATACAAATATATATATATAAATACGTATAATCAATTCCTGTAAATTTTCTGCTAAAAAATTTCGTCAATACAATTTTTTGCATTTTAGATTTTTGATGTCAAATATTATTTTGGGTGTGTATCATTAAGTTTTCGAGATAATTAGGCAAGTTCGATTATTAAATTAATATTTTTCAAAATTGCAAAATTTATTATGCCTTTTCTTGTAATTAAAAAGCTTTCAATATTATATTAATAATATTAATAATAAATAGGCAAAAATTTGAGAGATTTAGGATTACCTGAAGCATTTTGATAAATTTAGCATTTAATCTATTAATTGTAATTAATTTGCTATCAGTTCGATTTTTTAAGAATGAGAAGAAATTTTTCTTAGTTAGAATAATTTAAAAATTTTAAATCTTTTATGACATTTAATTTTTTCAACGATTTCGTGATTTTATCACAAAATTTTTATCAAACAATTAATTTAATTTATTAACAATTTACAATTTACAATGTACTATAAAATAAATTGCTGCAAAAAAATTCAATTTACAATGTACTATGAAATAAAAAATTATAAATCATTTCATTAACATCTTACAATTTCACTATTTGTTGTTTTTTTTTTTCAATATCAATTTTGAGTATTAATTTTATTTGAATTTGCAAAGATTAGCAAAAGTTTAATGTTAAAAAATAAATTTCAACACTTTCCTAATTTCATTAAACGATTAGTTATATTTAGCAAAAATAATAGTTTCTAATTTTGTCTTTATAATCATATTATATGTTAGCCATTTACTTTTTTGTTTTAAAATTTTTCAATTCTTAAATTAATTTTTTAATTTTTTAATTGAGGCATTTTTTATTCAAATTTGAAATTGATAATTAAAAATTTTGTATTAATTATATATTTTAAAAATTTCACATTTTTTGCCGAACTAATTGAATTATCGGTGAAAAAAAAGAAAGAATAAAAAACTTCCGTAATTTTAAAATTATCAGATAACAAAAAAAAAGTGTTATCAGTTAAATTTCATACCGATGTATGAAATTTTTTTGTTAAAAATAGTCGTGCAAAATTTCTCATAATTTTATCATTTTAATCTAATCATGGATCATTTCATTATCATGCATAAATTTTTTATTCTATTGATAGTTATTAATGGATAAAATTTAATTGTTATCATTATAGTTATCATTTAGGTATAATTTGAATGATAACATTTAGCTATTTTATTCAAAACTTATTATATTCAATAATGTCGAAATAAATTTATTAAAATGTAGAATTAATTTGCACTATAATAATATTACGATTTTGTAGAATAAATATGAATAATTATCAAATATTTGTTGATTAAATAAATTTAATTCTAATTTTTCTTTTCCATGTGGAATAAAAGAAGAATGAATTCAGCTGTAACTTCAACAAATACTTCAAATAGCAATCGTGACAGCCAAAAAGTTTGCATTACTTATTTATTGTTTTAATTTTATATTTGTTCAAAGAAAGAAATTATTGCCACTTATTTTGTAATTTATAAATTCTAAATAGCATTATTAACTTCCTATTAAATTCGAAATGATATTAATTTTCTAACAAATAATTCAAAAATTTTTATTCGTTTGTTATATTTGTTTGAAAATAATTAACAAATATTTTATCATACAAATTCTAAATTTAAAATTTTTCAAAGAAAAAAATAATTTTATATTTGAAAATATTAAATTATTGAAGTATGAAGAAAGTATCCGACATGCAAATGAAGCATTAAAAGATTTGATGGAACTTGTCAATATGCCCGATTTTGAGGATCACGATGGTTGGAAGCAAAAAATTTCGAATAAAACTGATGTTGTTTATTCGAAACGTTATAAAATGGGAAAAATTTTTACTATGAGGGTTAATATTTTCTTCTAATCATTAATTTATTAAAATTTTTATATCATATATATATATGAAAAGCATATAATTTCAAATAAATTTTTTATTAGAAGAAATAACTATGTGAATATTTTGTTAGAAGAAATAACTATGTGAATATTTTGTTAGAAGAAATAACTATGTGAATATTTTGTTAGAAGAAATAACTATGTGAATATTTTGTTAGAAGAAATAACTATGTGAATATTTTGTTAGAAGAAATAACTATGTGAATATTTTGTTAGAAGAAATAACTATGTGAATATTTTGTTAGAAGAAATAACTATGTGAATATTTTGTTAGAAGAAATAACTATGTGAATATTTTGCTAGAAGAAATAACTATGTGAATATTTTGTTAGAAGAAATAATTATGTGAAGGAAATTTTAAATTTTTTAAATTTTAAGTTTATTGCAAAAAACTATTTTCAACTTTTAAATTTTTTTATTGATAGAAAAAATTTAAAAAAAAATAAAATTATCATTTAATTAATTTATTTGTTAAAATTATCATTTAATTAATTTATTAATTTGTTTATTCGTCTTCTTCGTCCTTTTATTTGTTGTTGTTTTTAGACTATCTTTAATTTTCCCCTACAACAAGCTTTTGTGGAACATTGGGAAAATTTCGTCGATGTTGCACATTACAATAAAAATATCTCAAGTGTGAAAATTATTGCTGATTTATCATCGAACACCGATATTGTTTATGTAAATCTATTCCTTTTTTAATTTCATATATTGTTTAGAGAAAAGAAGTTTAAAGTTTAAAATTTTATAAATAGATAATTTTTGTTGAAAAGATTGGACGAAAAAAAATGCGGGATAATTAATGTATTGATAAATTAAATAAATTAAGGGATAATTAATGTTTAAAAAGGGATAATTAATGTGTGATAAATTAAATAAATTAAGGGATAATTAATGTTTAAAAAAGGGATAATTAAAAGGGATAATTAATGTATGATAAATTAAAATAAATATTTCAATTTTCATTTTACATCTTAAATTTTAATTTTTCCTTCTTAAATTACAGTATTCTTTTTTTTTTCAGTATGCAATGAATGATATTTCAACTATCAAAGGTCGAGAATTCCTAATGTGTCGTACATTTCGTCGTGCTGATAATGAAATTATCGAAGCTGCACGAAGTATTGATCTCCCTGATTTTGAATATAATCCACAAAAGATACGGTTAGTTTTGTTTTGGATGAAAAATGTTTTATTTTCTTTTTTTTCTTTTGTTTTTTGATAAAATCAATTATAATATTTTAATTAATTTTATAACTTATATTATTTATCTTTTTCAAAAATTTAAATTAAATCTTTTAAATTAGAAGAAAAACAAACATTTGTTTGTTTCATTTGTCTTTTTAATAAATTTAAATTAATTCCATCTTCTTTAAAAACTCACAATTTCTGTGCTTGTATATTTTGCCGTGATAATTTTGCCATGAATACTTTTGTTTTTAATAAATTTAAATTAATTTCATTTTTAGCCTAAACCTCATTTTTTATATTCCTGAAAAAAAAGAAAATTTTAATTTGATAATTTCGTTTGTAAAACAATAACAGCTTATTATCAATTCCAATATTACACTTACATTATCAAACTTTATCACTAAATATTACCAGTTTTAGTGGACATATTGTACTTGGTGGTGGACGCTTTCGAATTCATCCGAAAGATTCCACCAAAACAATTGTTGATTATGTTATGTGTGTGGATTTCAAAGGTCCTGATATACCAAAAGTAATTATGGATACGACACTCAGTATGATAATTATACAGGATGCCGAATCGATACGAAAACAAATTGAAAAGCTCAAACATGAAGCTGTGTGATTAAGATTTTGTGATAAATTTATCATAGAATTTCAATCATTCATTATATCTACCTTTGTATAATCATTTCAATTAAAAAAAAGAAGGGAGAAAATTTTTATAAATAAATTTGAAATGAAATTTTTGTTATATTTTACAATTGAAATATTTTCAAATATCAATTTAAGATTATAATTATCAATGTCGTGATAATTAATTTTGTTTATTTTTCTTTTGTTTGCTTCACTGTATACTTTTCAGGTTAAGATTATATAAATTTCAGGTTAAGATAAAAACATTAATAAGATTAATTATTCGTTTAAATCACTAACACTGAAATAAATAAACAAACAATGTTAAGTGTAATAATATTAATTAAAAGATTTATATGATAAGAATTAAATATTTTGAATGATTAAATCGATTATTATTGCATTCGATTACTTATTAATATGTTAAGATATATTTCATTGATTATTTTGAAAGAAAAAATTTTAAATTACTTAATTTGATCTATTATTTAAAACAATTATTGCCAACTTTTAATTACGCTAATTAAAAATTGTAAAAGAAAGCTTTCAAAAAATTTTCTAAATGTTAATTTTTAATTGTGTTAATTTTTTTTATAAATTTAAAATTTCTTATATGAAATAATTTATCAAATATAAATGTATTAAAATAGTAAACATTATTGAGTATATTATTTAGTCGAATTTTTAATGACTGTAATTATGCTCAAATTATAATTGCACTTACTTTGTCATATTTACAATGCTAATTTATTATCGTACACTGATAAGAATGTTGTTTGTTACTATATATCAGCAAGGAAATCACATAAAAATGATAAATGCATTCATTGATTAATTCAATCAATCAATCAGATCAATATCATTCAAACAATTCAAATAGCATTCAACTTTTTTTAAAATCTCATTTTAAAACATGAAATATTATTATTAATTTATTGAAATGAATAATGCTAAATACTTTTAATCAAATTGTAATTAAAATTTCTTTCTTTTGTTTTTCACTTTTGATCAGTTGATAATATGAATGATTAAAATTCTTTTTAATCTTTGATAATTCTTTGATAATATTAAATTTAAGAAGAAGAATTTTGATTTTCCACTTCCAGGTTAATCATTTGCAAAAATTGAGCTGATAAGATAAATGAAATGAAATATGATTTGATAACTGATATCCAACAATGTCTTCGCTTATAAACTTCCTGATAAGTGTAAAATTTGGATGAATTTGAAATCTTAAAAAGATTTATGGTAAAAATTTAATTAATTTCTCAACGATATTTAAAGCATTTTCTAAAGGAACCGATTTTTTCATCGAATAAATCTTAAATGATAGTGAAATTAAAATTTCGTTAATTGATATAATTACTTCCCAATTATTTTGTAAATTTGTAAATTTTAGTTAAAATAGAAACTGTTTTTTTTTTCTTATGAAACATAAGATAGTTATCATTATTATTCAACAAATATCATAGAAATGACATTACGAATCAATGAGATTGATAATCTTATAAAACCATAATAAGATTCTCGAGAATTAACTAAATAGCAAATGGATGTCATCGATATCACAAGACAAGAATTTAATCACTATTCGTTTGTCATTATTGTTCAACAAATATCATCGAAATGACATTATTAATCAATAAGATAGATAATCTTATAAAACTATAATAAGATTTCAGAGAATTAACTGAATATCATCGATATTATAGGCAAGAATTTAATCACTATTCGTTATCGTAATTCCAAGCATCCATTTTTTTTTTGCTAATGATATCATATTGCAATTATAACTGTAATAACAGTTTCCACAAAAAAATTCTTTAAAAATCGAAAGAAATTTAAAATAATAAAAAGCAATTAACTTGTACGAGTAATAAATACAAATTTTTAAAGAGTAATTATATTTCATTTTAATTACATTTTAATTCTATTTAATTATATTGTATTAGTTTTTCGATTACAAATTTTTAATGAGTAATTATATTTCGTATTAATTTTTCGATTACAAACATTTACAGAGTAATTATATTTGTATTAATTATTCGATTGTTAATTTTTATTAATGTATTAATTATAAATTTTTCGATTATAAATTTTTAAAGAGTAATTATATTTCCTAATTAATTTTTCGATCATACGTTATATAAATTTAACAATATTACAAAATTCACTTCAATATTTCAAATAATTATTTTAATTTTACTTGATCGTATTTTTCTTCGATATTTTTACGACATTTTTATTACCGTTAATTACATTCATTTTTCTGTCTTTTTTTTTTTTTGTTTGTTTTATTTTCAAAATGATTAATTGCTAAAATATTTTAGCGCTGACTAAGATAGTTTTCAAATTTGCTCTCTTTTTTTTGGTAAATATCAAAAAACGATTAGTTAAATATTTGCTGTAATGTATTGTTCAACAAATATTGACATTAAAATTTTAATTAAAGATAATTTTAATTTTAAAATTAAACATTTTAATGAAAATCGAATTAGCTAATAGGATAAGATATATATATATATATATATGTGTGTGTGTGTGTGTGTGTGTGTGTGTGTGTGTGTGTGTGTGTGTGTGTGTGTTGACAAAAAATTAATAGTAAATTTAATGAATAATACAATTGATCTTTTGTTTTTGTTCCTACCACACGGTGTACATCGTCAGATAAAAAATGATGAATCGATGAATTGAATTTTTTTGTGATAAATTAAATTATTATAATGAAGATAAGAAAGTAAGTGATAAGAAAGTATTAATGTCTTTTTAATAAGTTGACCTTCGTGAACATTAGAACTATTCAAGTGTATTTCGGATAGCTGAAAATAATTTAAGGAGGAAAAGAAAAACTGACACCTTCATTTTCTGATATTAATGATAATTGTATTATCACTAATACAATTATCATTAATATCAGAAAATAGTTGAGATTTAATTATAATTATGCATTATAATTATGCAATTATCATTTATATCAGAAATAGTTGAAATTTAACTAATTATGCAAAGTAATTAATCAATTGATTAAGTTCATATGATATGTGTTCATTAGTTTGCAAATTCATAATTTTGACAAAATTTTTTAATGAAAAAAAAATGAATTGAATTTTTAGTGATTAATTTAAATTATTACAATTTCAAAGCCAATTTAATAATTTGACAATTAGGTTGTAAAAAAAGAAATGAGCTATCATGGGATAAAATTACAATTAAATCGTCATGATAATATTACTACAATACCTGATTAATTAATATTTTCCGTAAATCCGGAATGTACTTCTACATCTGATTTAGCAAAACAATTTTAATCCAACTTTTCCTTTTAATCAAATGATAACAAATCTTTGATTTAGCAAAAATCGAAAAGGAAAATCTTTTCAATTATTTTTAAAGATTAGTTTTGTTTTAATAATTGTAATTATGATTAATCAAAAATTATGAGTTTTCGAAATTGCTAAAATTCGTAAAAATTTTTCTTATCATATCTTTCTTTAACTTTCAATATTTCCTATTGATTATTTGAAATAGAAAAATTATCATCATCTTCGAATTTTACTATTTCTTTGCTAATTTTTAATATTTGAATTAAAAGTATAAAAGATAAAAAAAGTTTTAACTGTTAATTAATTGGAAAAAAAGTGCGACGATCGATTACAAAATTATTTGATAAAAAAATAAGAATAATAATAAAAATATTAGTGTCGTGTATCGGTTAGCCGATGTTCCCTTATTATTCAAATATAATTTTTTTTCATTTCTTTTCTGTCACATCTGTAAATTATTATAACAATTTGTTATCATATCAATTATCACATTTATTGATAAGCCTATGTCTTCTATTTTCTTTATTTGTATAACTTTATATGAAAAGAATAAATCGTATCTAACATAAATAATACATTAAATAATTGCTATCATAAAATATATATATATATATATATATTGAATGATAAAACGATGATAATTTTTGTACATTTATGTTGCAAAAATATAATAAATATATAAAATATTTTTAAATTAAATTTTAATAATAACAAAATTGAAAAATATCATTGAAATTTAAAAATTTCAAATAAAATAAAAGAAGAAATCAAATTTAGATATTATTGATGTAAAGTAAAATGATATTTTCAAAAGATATCTTTTGAATAAATAATTTAAACTATTGATTGTTTGCTAATTAATAAGTAAACAAATATGATACAATGATATTGATATTATTGTTGGCCTATTTTTCGAAAATCAATGCATAAGATAGTGACCACAAAAGTTTCATCATCGTTCTTAATAATCGTTGAACATTTTCACTTGGCATACTAAATTCTTCATATCAATATGATAACCAATTATCAATACGCTAAAATATCCTTCCTGATCGAAAACATTCAGAAGATAATCATCAACTGTTGTTAGATAGTATTTTCAAAATTCATTCAAAAATTTTTATACTGTCTGGAAAAATCAATTATTATTTTTTTCTTTGCAAAAAATCGTTTATGTTTGTCGGATCAGTAAGCTGTCCGATTGTCTGTCCGCCCAGTATCCTCTTGTTTGCCCGTTACATTTTACTTCCGTTCGTCACCAGGTAGCAGTTGTTTTCGTTTATTTTTTTTTCCCACTTTAGTTCCACTCCTTTCTCTGTAACATTTTCACATGAATAACACTTTTATAGTTTATCTTTTCCCGGTTATTCTATAATCATATCATAATTCATTCAAGATATCCTACAGATAATCGTGATATACTTATGATATTTTTCCTAATCTTGATCTCACAAGAACAATTGAAATTTGAAAGCTTTAATGGGAAAAAAGTGTGAAAACTCGACAAAATGTCCCTTCTGTCTATTTATCTAATTCCTGAAATATATTCAAAAAGTTTTGCCTAATTTGAAATCATTTACAGATGAATTGAGAATACTTTGTGATGGGTTAATAAAATCAGAACACTGAGTGAGAAATGAATTACCAGGGTTAAGTTTCTTCAGTATTCTAGCAGTTGTTCAGAAATGATCTTCGAAATTACGATAGATTGGGACGAGATGAAATGAGTCAACACTTCCGGGAAAAGATGATAATCTCTTCCCATCAACAAATTCTTTTTAGATGTAATTTTGCTGTATGACAATTTCCAGAATTTCTTGTTTCTTGTCGACTTCTTTCTGTGTTTATTTTGAATTTCTTACAAAACATTTTCGAGCAGTATTCAAATTTCAGGAGAGACAGAATCCCGAAGTTGCCCTAAATATGTGAAGGAAGTTGCAAGGAGAAAGATCAAGATTTAAAGATTAAAGGGAAAAACACAGAAACATAATGCAAAGAAAGAGATGGAGTAAAGGAAAGTTTCAAATCTTTAAAATCACCCAACTGCGAAGTTTAAGGAATTGAAAAGCCTGAATGAAAGCAAAGCGTGAGGCTCTGAAGCAAGAGACAGCGAGATCAGTAACTCCGCAGTACCAGAATTTCATTGCAGAAGGTCAGATAAATCATGTAATCCAGCGGCCAGGAATGCTACATAGCTAAAAAACATGAAAGTTGCGGAATTACGAAGTTTGAAAAGAAGAATGTGGCAAAAGGACAGAATCTGAGGGTTTGAAGTTCAAGAGTTAGCGATCTAACAAGGAGGCCTGTATGCCAGGGTCCATTTCGCAGCAAACCCGAAACACATCAATTTAGATTTTACGTGCTACTCACAGGATGACTCAGATCTGGGTAAACGAGATTTCCATACAGCGCGTCTCCGGTGATTATACGGCTATACGCAGAACGGGGCTCATCATGGACGACTAACAATCTCATGTGCACATGATTAAAACTAGGCTACCGAACCACGACTAAAGCTAACATCGAATGGATTGAGCAACTCGTGGCAATCAGATACCGCAACAAAGATAATGATATGACGTCAGCACCAAACACATTAAAAGGAAAGAAAATAGCATCAGGTTCTTCATCAGGATAAAAGACTAGCACAAGTTTTTGCTTGGAGACCTAAATAACATTAAGAAGAACACCTCGGAAATTAATTCACAAGTTTTTTGCTAGAAGTCCATAAACTGTCGCAAAATCCAGCGGCGACTTTATTAAATTTAAAGGTCCCGTTTTTCGAGAATAATTCTGGAACCAAGGAAGCTTTCTGAGGTAATCTGAATCTCGTATTTTGGGAAATACTTTTAGAAACTTCAGAAATGGCCCAAAATAAGCAATAACCCGAGATCACAACTCTTATTTGTAAGATATTCCGGTCCAGAATTTAGTGCGTTATCACACCAGATGGTCCCGAAGCAAGCGAAGCGCATTTGGCTCGTTTCCAAAAGTGTCTTTGAAGGGGTGGGTGATGGTGTGGTGGGTGGTCTGTAAAGATCTATTATAGTTGAAATGCGTATGAGGCGTTGTCAGCGCTGGAAGTATTCGTGGGATTCTCCTAGATACAACTGAAATATCTAAGAATCACCTTTTCTGTCTCTCCTCTTCTATCCTCTTCAGGACTAACTATCCTATGGGTCCTGAAAGGTCAAGTTTTTCTTTGGGAACTAATATCAAAGTGAGTTGGTATAGAAGAGGGGCGTTCCTAAGCGGTAGTGATCACTGAGAAGTTCGTCCTGCATTTTCTTATCCCCTGTTATCCTAAAATGTCGGTTAGCGCCATTTTAATTCTGTTCCAATTCAGAAGCTTAAGATTACAATGATGTCTCATTTAAGTTGAGCAGTTACATGTCTTGGTTGGTCCGTTGAGTTTTGGTTTATTTCCTGGAAGAAAATGATGGTAGTGGAAAGCAAGGATCGTAAAGCATTTTAGGCTTTTTGCTGCTGTAACTATATGACAAACTATATGACAGAGTCCTCCTAATCGGTTATCGACAGAGCTGTTGCTTCTTATTCCTCTTTCTCGTCCACAAATATCTCAGTTTTCTTTGATGGGATACGTATTGGTGAGCCTGAGTTTATCTTGGGCTTTCTGAAGTGCAAAAAAAGGGAGGAAGAGAGAGAGAGAGAGAGGAAAAAGAAGAAAAAAGATTGATAGTCACCGAAATTTCTCAGCTACATTAACGAACATGTCCTTTTTTTAAAGCTTTAGTCCATATTACATGTTATTTGTCGTTCAGTACATGTTGTCATGTTAAGATAAGAGTCGAAGGCAGGATGTACAGGACGAATGTTGTGTGATAAATTACGTCGTCATCTATTTTCCAGTATCGCTTACCCATGTCTGTGCCTCATGTTTTTTTAATGTTTTCATTCAGTGATGAGATTTCATTTTACGTGAAATCTGCAATGTTTAGCAGATTTATCGTTACAGAGAAGTGGCGATGCAAGTTGACCTCTCACTTGACCTATCGATTTTTTCTTTAAATTCAAATGATTTGTACTTCAGGTTTGTCAGTTCTGTCAATTCTGGATGATGTCGGTTTAAAAGGAAAAGGTAGAGCCGAACGTCTTAGGCTCTAACGTTAATTTCCTTTCACGTTGTGTGTTTATTGCAGTTCGCCTCTTCGGGGGCAGTTCATCCACACTGAACCGATATAGGAAAGTTTCTAGAGTAGTTAACATGAGTTTTTATGGATTGTCACATTAATCACTTCCAACAATGGAGGATAAGGAAGCAACAGCAGAATGTCGGAAAACCAGTTCGACACAACCCGGCTACCGTAAGCGTGTTATGCGCCGAGTTAATGAGGAGTCTCATACTCAAGAACCAGTAGCCAGGTTAGCTGGTGAATACACTAATTTATTTCAATCACTTGTCTTTAATGCCAGCAATGAACATTTTGCAGTTGAAGAGTTTTGTAAGCAAGTACCCTGTTTGTTTAGATGCTGAACATTTTACAGTTTTTGTGATTACTTCTATCTTAGATACTTCGAAGCTGTCTTCATTATTATCCTGATTGCTTTGAAATTTATGCTGATTGTGCATAATCAGCTTTTAAATTGACTTTTGAAGATGATTTGCCTAACATCTTTTTGTTTTCCAATGTAATTTCCAGAAAAAGTAACGCTCGTTTTCATCACTATTATTCACAGTTTCAGTCATGTATAGAGGCTCCAAAAATTGGGCTAAGAACGTGGTAACAGATAGCAGCAACTTTCAGTTTTTTCTGAATGACAAACATGACTTGCATATTACCGCTAATCTAGATAATTGACTAACCTATGCACACTGTTTCAGAAAGTACTTTTGAATCATGCTTCTAAATGCGGTTGCTTGCTGAAAATTAAAGGCATTTCATGGTCGAATTACAGTATTTTTGATGTAAGATTTATTAATATCATTCGTAGTTAAACATGAATGATATTAATAAATCTTACATCAAAAAGTTTGAACAAGGAAGTATAAATTGCAGTTACTGCTGGGGATAAATAACTAATTGTAATCGCAATTTCTGTTCGTTCGATTTCCAAACATTGAAGTTCTGAACAGACTTCAAGAAATTTTATTAACGTTAGGCAAAGCGATTATAAATGTTTTTTTTTACGCGTTAAACCTCTGGTATAGCATGTGCCACAGAACTAACACGAGGATTTTGAAATATTTTAATGAGTTAAACCATTCCTAATGTATCAGAAAACGATAAAAAGTAGTAAAGCGGAACAATTTTTCTGCACAGCCAAGCAGATGTAAATTATTATTCTGATGATTCTTCATTCTTCGTCATTATAAGAACTTTAGAAATGTCAGCATCTCTTTAATTAAGAGCTGTAGATTCAGTTTTCGTCGGTTTTAATCTCCAAATATCTTTTCGCTGCAAATAATTATTGAGATGAGTGTTGTTGATTTTATTTCTTTGACTTTTCGACAGTTATTCCAAAAAATTACCCCAGAAGTGGGAATCACCTCTGTCGAGAGAATTAGTCACGTATAGGGGCGAATTCTTGGGATGATAGTAATTTTGAGCCACACAATGAAATATTTTCTAAATTTGCATAATATGCAAATTTCTTGTGAAGCAAGATTTCTGTTGTGCTTGTCATTCATTCATCATCATTGGCACGCAGAAGTGTGTTTCGAAGATGAGGCGAGGTAATGCTTCGCGTATCGCAAAGTATGTTTTACAAATTGTTAATTATTAATTATCCACGATTTCTATTATTGGCATTAAGTGTATCTTGTAGGAGTTTACAGTCATATTCTTGCTTATTTGATCAAAAATTTCTCGAGCTTTTTTTATCTGTCCTGGAAGGTATGATTAATGATTGGTCTGTTTTTTTTAAATTTTTTTGTGGGGATATTTATCCTTTTAAATATTCATGCTTTATAACGCTGAGGAAATCAAAATTGGGAAAATCGACATTTGTCCTTTCTATGCCGGAAATACCAAAATTGATCACCCCTTTTTAATAGCCATCTTACCTATCGGCTAATTTCATCTGTTTGTTTTTAGAAATGATCGTTCATTGGGAATTGCGTTCATGCTGGTCTTAATTAATTAATTTACTTTTTGTGTGTATTTGCCTTATATTTTTTTTAAAATGCATGGATATGTACAAGCCCTACCAGATGTGCTTCTAACTTAGTTTTGAAGGCGAAGAAGCGGTTTGAAATCACGAACTGCCCATGATAATGTATTATTGATCAAAATTATCAACAAGATAGAAAAATTGGTCAGGTCGTTGGTCGTCTGGAAAACTACGCATCGGCAAGTGACAGTTTTTTTGTTATTTGGTTGGTTGCGTGAAACCCAAGTTATTAAACTACATTTCATTTCTACTTGAATCATTGAAGGTAGCAAGCATAGTGGTGGAATCGGAAATTCGATTTTTGATGAAAGCGACTAATCTAGGGATTTTTGTCTTTTTATGTCTGTCCGGTAAGGATTGCTGTTTCATGTTGTATATAGGAAAAATGATAAAGGTTTAAATGAACTCTTGAAAACGAATCTAGAATACTCGTAGATAGAGAAATGAATTTAGAATATAGAGGAAGCTTATGTTTTTCCAAAAAACTGCGTAGGAGCGGTCTTTGTTGTCAACAAATCAAAGTGATAGTAAACCGAAAGTGACAAAGTGATCTGGTAAACCTATAACAGTATTCATAACATGAATGAAAATCAACTTACTAATCTAAGTTTTTCCTTGCACCATTATTTTCGATTTTTTTTTTGAATTTTAGCAACCGCTTCCAAATAATTTATTTTTTAATCATATCAGCAGCGTTATTTGACCGAGAACTGAACCACTCTTCGGTCACTACACTTTATCCATTTTTATATATTGTTGATGAACCGTCTATCTATATCATTTACCTTGACTGCATTTCACAGCTTTCTGGATTTTGTGGTATTCGTTTTATTATAAAAATGCCATGTTATTCTGAGCTTTTCTGTTAAACATTCCTTTTGAAGCAATACTCATCGCTTAAAGATATGAATAGAAAGCATTTCTTTACAGTGAGCCCATATTTCTTCTCATCTACCTTCCTTCGCAGTTCCTACATATCATTTACGTAGTCGATATCTTTACTGTTAAGCGACCTGATACCGAGTCTCATCTAGATTAAGCCTATGAAATATTATCACCAAATTTTTGGCTCTCCCTTCTTTTTTATCTACGACATTTACTTGCTTTTTTTAGTAAGACTAAAGTTTAAGCTGTTTGATAGCTTGACAGTTTGTTCAGCAGGCAGTGTGCATTATTCTAGTCTGTTGCTTCAGTTACAAACCTAAATATTTTTCCGTTTCACTTTACCACTGATGATTTCATCATTACTTTACCTTACTTTCTGGAACACTCGACCTGTTTTCAAACCGTAGAGACTGTGGATTCAGAATTTTATTTTTTTTTGCTTGCCATCGAGATCGAAGCAACACTATTTCTCCACGAGGCTACTGCTGCAAGTAGTAAATTAAAAAAAATGCACTAATGCTTTATGGCGACAAGGATTCTATTTAGAAAATGAATAGCTTTATACTATTTGTGATCTCTTGGATCCCGAAACTATCAGCAAAGATTCTTAAAGTTTTTATCATTTTTTCCTACGTTTTAGAATTTAGAATTTTTTGAATATTATCTCCTTTGCTTTTTACAGTTGTCAAAATTTCTTTACCGGGGTGACAGGAATATTGTCAAGAGAAGTTGTTTAAATGGTGCAGTTTCGCTTTTGTTGTGGGGTTGTTCCGCTGAAACTTTTATGCACTTTTATCCCCGCGAGTACCACTCTTTTTATATTTATCTTTCATACTGAATGAAATTGATACATCTCATAGCGGATCTTGGAGTATTACCGAGGAACATTTCACTGTTCATTCATGGAATGCAGTCCCATCTTTAGCTCTTCGTCTAAGAAAATCGAATAAAAAAAAAAAAGAACGGTGAGTTATTTATCAAATGGCTGTATGTTGGAAGTGTGTGAAAAACAAAAACGAAGGTTCTAAATAGAACTGGTGAAAAGTATATGTGCGTGTGTCGTAGATACGTTATCGGTGGCAGTCGGTCATTCGTCAATGGCTCTAACTATCAGCAACACGAGTAACATCTGTATAAGTTGATCATGTGTGAATTATCCGAATGTTATGCTGTTTAATCATCTAAATGCGTTTGCTTGGTTTATCTTTTCATGTTAATGCCTGTGTGATTGATGTGGTGTGAATATATTGTTTGTCTCCGTATTATGATTAGCTAAATCATATTTAAATAGCTTGATATGAAATCTATAAGGAATTTTTGTACTAATAAAGAATATACTCATCCATATTGATCATTTCGACGGAGAAATTGTCTTTTAAAGAGCAGAATCCGTGTAAATTTGTTTCAATACTATAAAATTTTGCAGTAAGCGAGTCGGGATTATGTGAATTTCTTTTGAATTCCAGGAACACCGTGGTTAATTAGGTAGTTGTTAATTTTATCTTCGTAATAAGAATGGGTCCTTTAGATTCTGCGTCATACCACCGAATATGTTTGTTATATGGAGTGAGAAATGGTTTTGTTTTATGGTCGGTAAACTATTTATTGTATATCGCTTTACCCATGTATTTATTGACAGGTGGAAAAAAAAAAGAGCAAACCGTTTTTCAAAAATATTTTTTTCCACGTTTTTGGCTATCAAAAAACTGTGTCTGTAACAGTGAGCTGATATATCGCTGACAGGTGCATCTTGTTCAGAATGAAACATGTGATGATAAATGACGTTAAATTACATACCCCAGTACCGAGAAATTCCACAGGGATCCCTGACAATCCTCAATAATGAACATTAACAACAACGATAGCACTGTAGCCTCTTTTTTAGGCTTCTTTCATTCGGGCATTACTGTGACTTTATTTTTTATTTCTTGCATTAAACCATCTGATAAGACCATTACACTTTGATGGGTCAATGTTTATTTGAATGATGTAGATTACACTCGAAAACCATATTCAAAAAACTGTTCAGAGATAAAGCTCGGGGAAAAAAGATTGCTTTACCCGAAACTGAGAATTGTTTCCATTGCATGAATAATCAGATATAATGTTTGTTTGTCGTCTTTTTGGATCTATATATCTCTGTGCGTGTGTCTGTATTGGCGCTCACATCCATACCGCATCGCTGATGGCAGTACAGATGGTTCATTTGAATGTTTAATGGGAATAATTTCGAAGCCCATAATCGCCGCTTGTGTGGAAACTGTTTGAATACTATGCTTTTTTTATTAGTTATTCAGAGCTGCGCCTTAATAATTCAAAAGTTTTTGAGTCATATAATTTTATTGCTGGTGAGGATTTGACTGCCAAGAAGTGAAGTCTTTCAACGTCTTACTTCATTTTTCAGCTTTTAAATTTGAAAAATGTCGTTTGTATGGATCATTTTATGTTTTGCCCAAAAGAATTCATTTTTTACGCAAAATTTTCGCAACTTCTTAATGAATTGCACTATTGCTTGTTTTCAAAATGTTTTCCATATAATTCTTTTTACCGTTTTCGTTACCTCTATTTCATTGGTCATCAGCTAGAGATCAGATTTTTTTCTTTTATCTTGGAAAAATTTAGCACATCCGTATGTTCCGAGCAAATAATGTTTTTTGAATACTTTTGAAAACAAATGTTTTTGAAGAGATGCAGTGCTGATATGTAGCAGCCAAGAGATCAGGCAGTCCGAATTGGCAGTTGACATTGTAATGAATGGTTGAGCAGTTCTTACTAAGCCTGGTTATAGCATTTACTGAAGTACCATTATTTTTGCCTATGTATGGTTGGTGTTTGCCCAAGCTATGAACCAGAATGACAGCAAAATGAAAGTTTATTAAACTCTTATCAAAATTATCAGCTTTATATCGTTACATTATTTGTCTATAATGAAATTTCATGTTAAAAGTTGAGCTAAATTTCTCCGACAAAAAATCCTGCCTTGCTGGAAATGTTCATTGTTGGCATCGCGACGGTATTATTTCTCTTATTCAAGCCCATATTTATAGTTTTATATTGGTAATTGGAGTTTGTTGGGTCAAATTTTTCGTGAAATTTAGTCTTGAAGAAGTTTTATGACTTGCAATTTAAGTGGCACCTCGAATTGGCTTTCTGGCGAAGAACGATCACGTTTAGAAGCTGTACAACGAGACTGGCGTCTTTCGAGACCCGCTAAACCTTACTCGGTTTGTCTTTTTGTCAGCACTACTTATTTCTTAATGTTAGATAAGAGCGCACCGAAACAACTGGCAGTCATTCAAAAAAAGGAAGAAAATTCCGGATCTGGTAGGTTTTTTCCACACTCTCAAACCTGCAGCAGCTATATGCATTCATTAGAACTTTTTATGTTAACGTAAAAAAACCAGAGAGTATTGTTAGTTGTTCCAAGGAATTTATCTTTTGGATTTTATGAGAAACAATGCACACAGCAAGAGAATATAAAATGCAACGAAATAAAGCAGAATGGTGAATAAATGGCCAAACTTTAGTAATTAGTAAATACATTGCGTCATAATTATCGTGTTGTTAGTAGTGCGTAAATTAGACCTCTTTTGAAGTGCCATATTATCTGTAGGTCATTATAATGATATGTTTCATTTTGACAATGTTTCTGTGTACCAATGGTGTCCATACTGAGTGTTTGTTATTAGAAATGCCTACATTTTTGTTTTTGTCTAGCCATGGAGTCGTTATCGACAGCCGTCAGTAGACAAGTCATCGAAGTCACCAGGAACTATTGCACGGAATGACGCAAGCACACATCAACAAACTTTGTTCGGACGAAACAGGTTTCATGATTTTTTCTTTTTTTTTTATATCAGAAAATATAGCATTTGTAGAAATCATTTACAAAATTCGAGGTTTCAGTCCTTGATTAGGAGATGAATTAGATGGTTCAACATTTAATTGCACTATGAGAAATGGAAATTAGTTGCCTTTTACCGAAATTAGAGTAACATAGCGATGCTGAATTGTCATTTGGTGAGGAATAATACAATTTAATCATTGTGAACTTCAAAATAGAAAATAACTACCCAAAAGTCGAAAAAATAAAGAAAAGGCGAACATACTTCAGTCGCTGTGGCGTTCTAGGCACTGAGAAGCTTTCTTTGTGCCGAAAGCGCCAGGTAAGGTACCTGGTGAAATCATTACCGAAAAGGGAAACCTGATATAAGCAAGTCACGCATTAAACTTGGTATTTTTAGTAGGTTTTTTTACTGCAATTCAACGGAAGTGAATTTATGTGTTGAATATAAGTTTTACTTATATCAATTATTTTGTCTATTCAGCTAATGCGGTGTTGTGAAATATGTTCCATCTAAACATTTCAAAAGTGAACGTTTGCTGGGTGATTTCCATTTTAACTTTAATATGTCATAGATTGAAGAATGAAGTATAATGAGACATCAGATGGAATTAGACATAGAACATATTAAGACGGTAACGGATTATAAATATCAGGTACATCTAAGAGACTTCAGCCCCCCTTTATCATGTTCCCTCTGTGACGTACCATTTTTTCCAAAGATCGAGAGTTAATCTTATAATTCTGTTTCTTCCGTCGGATATCATTTAATATTGTGCATCATCTATATCTACCCATTATAAATGAAACATGAAATACAACGGCAGTAACCATTATTTTGAAAACTCTGGCAGTCATCTTTTCTCCCACTGGATACTTATTTTGGTAAAAAAATTCAAACCTTTCTGCCAGAAATCAAAGAGAAGGTGGAAATTCAATAAAATCTGCCAATCTTTTCCTGGAAACATTGATATATCCTGTTCGGCAGAGCCACCAGGTGTAAAGTCTTATGAGAGCCGTTCACCTGTGTTTATGTGAGAAATTTGCCTGTGTGTGTATATTTTTATCAGAACCAGCAATTAGAATGGATAATCTGGAACATTTGCTTTTCGCTTTTCCAAGAAGACATGAACCTCAGTTTCTCGAAAGTCATCGCTGGTAAATTCATCCGGTTGCAACATTCTACTTTATGTTAGGTTGGCGAGGTATAAGTATTATCTCGATGCTCGATAATTGTTAGAACATATATTTCCATTAGTCAGGAAAGCAAAGAAATCAAAAAAGAGGGAACATTCCGCGAAAGCTTTTCCGGAAAGTGGGAAATTCTCTATTTTCTTGTTTCCAATCAAGACAAAGCTGTCACTGATGAAGTGCGATTCTAGGCGTCTTCCTCAGAACTTTGAGATAGTCGTTAAACGAGTAGCTATCTGTACCTGATTGCAAGAAGAGTAAAAGGGCAAAAAAGCATCCATTTTCTTTTTTTTCGGAAATGTTATGTGAATAACATACGTGCTGTGAGGTGAGGAACCTGGAAACTTTATGACTTTTTTGATAAACCGTAAATCGAAGATCATCGATATCTTCAATCTATTGTTTCTACGTCCAGTATAACTCACTAAAAATTTTCTGAATAATGCAATGATTTTTTGTTGCCTATTGATATTTTATGGCAGAACGGACAACTGCATGTGCATTTAAAATATCACAAGTTTAGGAAAAAGCGCACGTAACTTTTTTGAAAAGCTGAGATTAGGGAAGTCAGTGTTTCTTTGGATGCCTCAATAATTAAACCTACCTGCCTTTAAAATTTCAGAGTCTACCTTTCTGACTAACGCTGAGAAAGTTAATAAGTGACTGGACCATTTTATGAAATTTTTATAGGCACCCCTTTACTTTTCTGTTTCATAACCCTACGGAAATCACAACTGTGGGTGCATTGCGTCACCGTTGAATATTTCTCTCATAAATAAAGCGGGGAAGACATTGTGACATTAACTGAACCCAGCTGAAACATTATGAGCTCAATTAACGTGCACTGGATGTTGTTCTCTGCATGGGTAGCAAATAAATTAGTGCTGCATACGTGGCACCAAATCTCAGCAACATGGACTACATTTTTGGTCAGGTTCAATATGCATCAAGGGTGCTGACTGGTTACTTTTTGTAGAAAATTGTCTTGTTATAATGAAAATAGCGAAAAAGAAAGCAGTATTACAGAATCCCAGCTGTTCCATCACTTTCAACACAATCTGGTCCTCAAGGAAGTGAGAAGATCCACGAAACAGTGGATGAGGAAGATGAAAAGAAGAAAATTGAGGAGGACACTGCAGTGATTTCAGAAACTCCGTCACCTTTGCCGTCACATGAGAATGAGAAGAAAGATGAAGTATGTCTATGTCGTCGCTTCTGTGACCTCATAGCATAATAGTGTAAAACATCCACGATAAAACCATTCCTTATACCTTTCATAACTATCGGTTTATACTTTTGAGCAGTATTACCATCGTTTGAATCATTGTTCTGTTTCAACATGGGAACATTCATGTCATTTGAACCTGTGTTTAACAGTAACTAAAATTTTTTTGGCTCACTTATCGTACTTTTTTTCCCTATAAGTATTTTGAATTAATTTATAGTTAGCTAAAACAGAGGAAAAACAGCGAGAGGTCGTAGATGATGACGTCGATGCGGAGGAGGAGAAGCCCATCGACAAGTCTCCAGGTAGCAGTGAATATTTTTTATGCTAAATTTTTGGTTCCTTTACGCGAGTGGCTGCAATCGTAATTTTTAAGATGGATATGCAAAATGAGTGCACAAATAAAATACAAATGAATGCACAAATAAAATAATTCGTTTGGAATTCAGTGTAATGGTGTGTGGTTTAGGATGATTATGACGTCGAAACTTTTCGAAAGTAAGATTTGTGCATGATTAAGTGAGATATTTACGTTTGTTAGAGAAAATACGAATTTTGTCGGAGTCAACTCCTTGATTGCTTCTGCAAGCAAGTTTTTGGCTATGATTTGATTCAGATGGACGATTTTTGAAATTTGACGAAGAGCTGGGACGTGGGTCGTTCAAGACTGTGTACCGTGGCCTGGATACGGAAACAGGAGTTGCAGTTGCATGGTGTGAACTTCAAGAGAGCAAGCTGAACAAGGCTAGTTTATACCTTTGGCTGGAGAACAAAAAGAGCAAGTCATGCGTCAATATTTTCTTTTGTCTAATTCTTCTGAAATCATTTCTGCATTAAACTTTAATGGACCATGTCGCATAACTTTTGCTAGTTAAAGAGTAAAACTTTAATACCTTTGCACAGTCGTATCGTTTCTGTTTCATGTATCATGTGTGTAAGATGGCATAGGTTCAGTCACCATGGGACTGTTTTACCAGTTAAAACACTCTTTACATCAGTACAATATTTTAAAGTAACTCTTGAAAGAAAAGTTGGTTGATTTTTCGCATATCTTTAATTTTGTATATATTTTTGTAGTTTTATGACATTAGCCTCGAAGTTTATAGATTTAGGACGTCCTTCTCTCAGTTTTTTAGATCTTTATTTTGTTATCTCTTTAATTATTATTGCAAATTTGTTTTTTGAACCAAATATGTGGTCATGGAGGATAATTATGCCCGGTAAATAAGTTTGTAATCTTAGCACTTCAATCGATTGAAATTATGTGATATTCAATAAATAGTATTCAGTTCGATGCTGCAAGCCGTTGTTTTTCTTCGCTTACAGGATACTTTGTTTAGGCAGAAAGACAACGTTTTCGGGAGGAAGCCGAAATGCTAAAAGGATTGCAACATCCCAATATTGTGCGGTTTTATGATTATTGGGAAAGGCAGGATCATGCTGGAAAGAAAAGGTAATCCTTGCTGTTTTAGTTGATCTTGTTTTCGCATCTGTGTCATGATGGATAAACTTCGGATGCCTGACAACTAATCTGAATAAATGATTTTCTGTGTTTTGAATTACAAGTTCCAGTTTTATCATGTTGCAAACATGTTACGAACAGCAAAATAGTGAACTTGACCCAAGGGTCAAGTTGTTCGTAACATAACCCAAAAAATAGTTTAAGTCCATGGAATTATAAGTCCTGGAGTGTAATAACTGTAATAATTTGTAGGATGAAGAAAAATTTCACATCATTGAATCGCTCTCTTTTCATTACCTCTTTTTTTATGCTATCATAAGTCATGGTGTTTAGATACATTGTACTGGTAACAGAATTGATGACATCTGGAACGTTGAAAATGTATCTGAAACGATTCAAACGGATAAACATAAAGGTTATATAAAAATGTACCATTGATAGTGACTGGAATGTATGGTATATTTCTTTTGTGGGTTGCTATTAATACTAAACTAATCCGCACACCGAAGGATTAGTTTGGTGCTCTGTTTTTGAAAACCATTGGGGCAGGAGAAGAATAAGTATCATTGGTTGAAAATGAAACAAATTAACTGTTTTTCAGGTGTTGAAGTCATGGTGTCGGCAAATTCTGAAGGGACTTTCTTTCCTTCATTCACGTAATCCACCGGTAATTCATAGAGATCTCAAATGTGATAACATCTTTATCACAGGTACAACAGGAAGTGTTAAAATTGGCGACTTGGGGTTGGCAACTCTGAAAAATAAATCATATGCTAAAAGCGTTATCGGTAAGTTAAATTTTTGCATTTAATTGTCATTACTGACCACTAATCATGAAGTGATAGTTTTATTATCAATGAGATGTTTGTTGTGATGAGATATTTTCAGGAACACCAGAATTTATGGCGCCTGAAATGTATGAAGAAATGTATGATGAAAGTGTTGATGTATACGCATTTGGAATGTGCTTACTGGAGATGGTTACTGGTGAATATCCGTATAGCGAATGTCAGTTTCCTGCTCAGATTTATCGTAAAGTAACTACAGTAAGTTTCTCCCGTCATATTAGCTGCATTATCGTAGTCTTGAGTATTTTCATTGCGAATATTTAAACAAGTTCAAGCATTCACTCACTTTCAGAGCTTTCGTACAATATTCTAATCCTAAATTTGAGGTGGGGGTAAGTGTTAAATCCATTCATTTATCCATAAGCAAGTTTAGTTTTGAAATGAATTTATGGATGAGTTTATTTTATGTGGGTAGATAGTATGAAGTGATTATTTGTCGCTGCAGGGTGTGAAGCCAGAATGCTTCAGCAGAATTCCCCAACAGTATCCTGAAATTCGGGAGATTATTGACCGATGCATACGGGTTCGTCGTGAAGAAAGGTATAAAATATTTTTGAATATTTTTTTGTTTCTATAAATTCTTTTAAATAGGTTGCCTGAAATTACCAATCGTTAGTTGTTCTTTTGGTTTATTTATCATCTAGCCAAAAAAGTTTTAAAGTTTGGATAATAGAATATTAGCGTTTCACATCAGTATTTTTCAGGTCAACCGTTAAACAGTTGTTGTCGGATGACTTCTTCACTCCAGAAGAGTTGATCGGTATACGGGTTGAAATAAAAAACCGAGATGCAGATCTTAGTGATGTTAATTCTGAAGTAATTTTTTCATTGTGGAATTAATTTGATTTTATGATATAATGTTCAGGGTACATTGTGGAATTAACTTGATTCAAACTTATTTCACTAAAACCGGAAATCTTCTAGATCCAAATGCAGTTGAGAGTGTTTGATGAAAAAAAGCGGAAACAGTATCGCTTTAAAGAAAATGAAGGATTGCAATTTGCTTTTGATATTGAAGCTGATAAGGCGGAAGAAGTAGTACAGCAAATGATTGAACAGCAGCATATTCCTGAAGAAGATACGCGCATGATTACGAAGCTTATCAAGGATAAGGTTAATTTGATTATTTTATATACGGAAATTTAACTTTTGAAGATACAAGTGGATGTAAAATTTGTTTCTGCTGAGATATGAGTAGTTTTCAAATTCAGGTTGAAGCATTCAAGCGTGATCGCGAATTCCGACATGCGGAACTGAAACGCTTGCGGGAAGAGGAACAAAGAAAGCAAGAGGAAGAAGCAATTCGTAATGAAATGCTGCTGAGAGCCAGAGAGAAAGAGCGTATGGTGGGTGATATCGTTTGGATACATTTTGGTTTAGCAGCTGTCTGGTTTCATTTTATAAGTTTTTCACATTTCGAAATTGTTACTTGATTTAACCAGGATTTTTGCGACCTTTTTTTGCTCTCTTTAGCGCATCATAAATTTGGATTTTAACTGCTAATACTACCAGCAAAGATTCCTTCGAAAAGGAAGGAAGTTTTAAGATTGCCGATGTGAAGGTGCATTCTTGGCAAAACAAGGATCTTAAGGAAATAGCTTACACGCTAACTGATAATAGAGTATTCGTTAAAAATAATTGGAGAAAAAAATATTTGTCGCAACTTGTCTCACTATTGATGATCATACATCCTAATGTAATCTGGTGTTTAACCTAAAGTTTGAAAGCACTGAATCGAATGGTTCCTTAGCTGATTTCTAAGAACAGAATACGTAATCTATGTTTTGGAGTAGCATGAATTCCACTGGGAGTGAATTGATGTTATGAATGGATATTATTCAGCGTTCGGAAGTTTCCTTTTATTTAGGAACGTGAAGCTGCGGCTGTTGAGCAACAGCAACAGTCGCAACAACAACCGCAGCAGTCGCAACAGCAACAAATACCACAGCAGCTGCAGCCAGCCGGTGCATCGTCGGAAAACGATGATCATCACGATGGACCAGTGAAACATAAGAAATCGAAGAAAAAAGTTGTGATCGAAGTGCTTCGCGTTGTAATGGATGAAACTAATCACCAGCCTGTAAGCGGTTTTTGATGAATTCAAACAAATATGTTTAAATTTTTGAATTCCACTTAAATGCTATTCAAATTTCATTTATTTAAGCCTTTTTAATCCAGTTCATTCGGGTATCGGAAAAAGGTTTTTCACCAATATATAAATATTTTCACTTATTCCTGAATGGAATTGAAGATTTCAATTTATCAGCGAATATTTTCCGGTGTAAGATGACGTTACTGGTTAGGACAATTCTTTTTATTTTCTTTGATTTTCCGGAAAATTTGTTCCAGCTCGTCAGTTGCCGTCTTGACACATCGCACAAGACAGTTACGTTTCAGTTTGCACCGGATTCTGACAAGCCGTCCGTGATTACTAAGAAATTGGTACTTTCTTTGGTCTCATCTGTTAACAGGAAATATAAACAGTGTAACTTAGTTAACTGTATGAAACGATAGTGAATGTCTATATGATAAAGCACATCATTTGCGTAGCTCTTGGGAATTTAAGATCGAGATTTCGGAGTCCCAGCTACTCTGTTTCAATTTGAAACTCAGGAGTGACTTAGGTAGAATTGACTAGTCTCTAACGAAAGAGAAAAAATGAAGTACCGAGGAAAGAAAAGAGGAAAAGAAAGTGAAGGAGGTACAAAGGAAGACATGAAAGCAGAACAAAATCGTTATCACCTATTCCTATTGCAAATCGCATTGCATGGTTCAGTACTCCACTTTCCGGGCGTGATTTAGAATCCGACTACTTGGGTGCCAGGGTCAAACGTAACTGTTTTTTTCATTCATCTCTCTAGTTATACCTAAATTTTTTGGTTTATTTCAGTTGGATCAAGATTGTTTAACAAATCCGCAAGTAGGAATTGTTATAGATCAGCTCGAGAAAATTATCCAGGTTAAAATTAGTCTCATCATATGTGTATCGTTAATGTTATGATGATTGCAATTGCAGTCAGATATTAAGACCGTTTCGTATTACCGTCCATATCTATTTTTCATTTCCAGATGATTATTGCTGATCCAGCTAAAGCAGTTGGTGTCAAAATTATCAGTTTTTTGGATTCAACGTCGACAAATGCCGATGTAGAAGTGACAGCGAGCCAGTCGAACATTTCAACTAATGCCACTTGCATTTCGACTAATGCCACTGGTTCTACGGATATTTCGGGGGAATCGAACGGAGCCGTAACAGCTACATCCTCTACACAAAATTTTCAGACTGTTCATCCTCTAGCAACATTGAAAAATCAGTCATTTGATCAAACGGTGGTAAATTCTGCTGCCTTACAGACGGTGATTGATTCAGTTTCTTTCTGGAGCTTTTTGAAACCACTATAATTTTCTTCAAACTTGTCCATGAGCTTTGAAAATCACTATGTATTAATAGTACGAAATAACGTCCAGTAAATCATGAGTAATGCTGTGTAATCGTTTAGAATTTTCAGCAACAAGATAAATCTAACGTAGAAAATGCATTGATTGCAATATTTTGCATATTGTCCCCGTTTTTCAGACACCAGAAACTACCGAATCAGCCGTTATTTCAAGTTCATCGAAACCAGCTGCTTCTGCCCTGCAAAGTTCATCCGGAATGGCGCAGCTTCCAGCACCTTCAACTCAACAACCTTCAGTTTCAGTTGCTTCACATACAGCTGCATCAAACACAACAACAACTCCCAGTATTGCAACTCCTGTACCAGCTCCTGCTCCAGCAGCAGCAGCAGCAACCAAGACATCACGTTTCTTGGTCACCAAATCAACTTTGCCTATTGATATTAGTAATTCAGCTACTGTTCCGCTTCTTGGTTCTAATCATCAAGAACACGCAGTAAGTACAAGCAACATCTTTTAGTAGTTTAAACTTTTAATATTTAGCGGATAAGAAAGTTATCCTGTTGAACTATTTTTATCCTATTAGAGTTGTAAGTATTCTTCGGAAGAGAAGGCGTTTGAGATGTTGAAGATAAGCTAGTGGGGTGCTTCTTTCTCTTTATCTCGAATATTTTTCTTTTAGAGCCAGTATGTTTCTTGAATAGATATTATTCAGTGATCTTAGCTGTCATTTTTCGTCAGTCTTTAGAAGCTAATTGCCAATTCAAGCCTTTCTGCACAGTTTTTTCAATAACATTAGTGCAAGCAGATAAAGTTAATCAGGTTTTACCTGCTATGTTTTTTGTTTCATCTTGATCAGTCAAGACGTCGGGCCTACAATAATCAGCCTTTTAAGGTTTCGTTGCTAAATTTTAAAAAGTGGGAAAATTGAAGCATATCTAATTTTGAAGGTAAAGGATGCTCCGTCAATAGTAATTGCCGTTAGTAATAGTACGTCGACACCGTCAATCAACCCATCTCAAACTGTGAATGCATCAACAGCAGGTTTGCAGCATGTAGCAAGTGGTGATTCACGTACAACGCTGAAAAAATTGGAGAGTGAACTTTGTAAAGTAAGCGGCGTAAATCCACCGAATATAAGCGGTGCAAATCCACCGAATAACACTCCGAGTTTGACGAATTCTGTATCGATTCCACCGTCTGAACTTCCTGCGGTTTTTGGAGGTAAGAAAAAGATCCTCATTTCGATTGGAATCAAACTTCATTATAGATGATTTCGGTAGCCTTATTCGAAAGCGAATAAGGCTATCAAAATAATTTAGTAATGCAGTCTGATGGTGATCGGTGGGATTCTGTGTTGCGCAGAATAAAACTTTCTCCCGCTTGTATATGATGTGCAGTACTGACCGTTTGAACCGTTCTATTTGCTCTTTCCAATAAATTAGTTGCCAACAGTTATTAAAAAAATATTTACATTCCAATTTTTTTCAGGTTCGTTATCCTGTACATCTTTACCGCATACGCCGTCCGTTTCTAGCAATTTAACGCATAATTTGGCCGATCTAAATGACAAGTTGTTGGCGCTGAGTCAAAAAATGCAAGGTGAACAAATGGAAGAAGTTGGTTGCCAGAATAACGAAATCGTTACACCAATATCACAGACACAGCAATCTCCAGCAATCACGCCTATTTTATCAAGTGCTTCGGTAGTACCATTAGTGCCGACAACACTACCAAATATCGTATCTGGAACGATAACACCTGGCAAAACAAGTGCTACTCCGGAAGCCGGAATCCTTCATGTTGATACACTAAATGGACTTGCTGATGCTCTGCAGAAGGTTATCATTCATTTTCTCATTATTTGAATTAAGGAATGCTTATGATTGGATCATTTTGTGAATTAATTTGTCGTTCTTTTTTAGGTAATTCATGTTGAGCCTCGTGAAACTGGTTCTGTACCACCATCAGGTATTGATACTGCCGGTCATATCGCACCATTACCTACTGAGCACCAGTCACCAAGTACAACGAACATGCTTCATGCGGGTGTTACAAGTTTGCAGGACATCAATTTTGGAGTAGATAGGGTAAGTTACACCACAAACTTCTACTATTTGTTGTTATCCAACGAATATTATATTTATATTTTGTGAAATACGTTATGGATAAATATCGGTTGTAGAAATGGAGCTCGTAATTAAAGAGAGGTAGAATTCGCAAAACGTAAGTTGCATATGTACAAAACGTTAACGTTTTGTCAATCTAAGCAGTTCTTTGGGGTCAAGAAAAATTGAAGGCGCATGTTGTTTCTTTTCTTTTGCATATTTCTTCATTTGCGCTTGAAATGGGCTTATTGTGAAAGCTCTCTAATAAGTTTTGGTCCATTCATTTCAATTTTTTTTTGATTAATTAGTCGGTGAAACCATTTTTTTTCGTTGCAGTATTGTAATATTTCAAGCATTCTTTCTTTTGATCGAATTGCTTCTTGTGCTTCTTTAGAAAGGCTTATGTTTAACAGTGGCAGCAGCACTATAATTTATAGCTGCAGGCCCATTACGGTTTTGCTTGTGTCTTATCATTTGCATTCTTTTGTACATCACTTGATAAGCAATGATTTCATCCCTCATTTAGGTCCCATTATTGTTTCTTCTTGGACGCGAAACTGAGTAGTTATTTTATATCAAAATTTTCTTTCTGGTACATGTTAATCCTAAAATATGGAGTAATTCATATTTGAAGTTTCAGATTTTCGAGCAGTTCTATCCATATTAATTCATTTTCATCTAGTCCTCTCTGCTACTCATTAATTTTAAAATGTATGTTTCTCGTTAGTGCAAAATTACATTTTACTACAGAGAACTGTGCCTGCCAATGATACAACAAAGCACACATCGGAAGATGTGAAAAATATAGGCAATACAGGAGAAGGCGAAGGAGGAGGGAATGTAAAATCGGAAGATGGGAATTATTCGGAGGTCGCATCACCAAATGTTCCAAACAACGCTGAAGCAACGTCAAATATTCTCCCAGCAGCTACCCAAATAAATAACTGTGCAAGTACGGTAGTAGCAGATGGTGGTGGTTCGGCAACGAATTCAGCTCCGCTGGCTAAATTTGAAAATTTGGAAACAGCGCTAACAACGACATTGGGCACACATGGGTGTTGTCCAACGGTACCTCATATCGTTAATTCAACGCATCCAAATTACCGTATCAATAATGTTGCAAATACAGATACTCAACAAACAGGCTTAACGCAGGTTTCGTCGATGGATGGGATTCACACTTCTCAGCAACCTTGCAATACGATGTCCGAAGGGTGCGAAGCAACGCAAAGATCGAACGGTGAACTTACTTCAGTAGTAGTGCCGGCAGGAGCGGTATTTCATGTTGGTACACCGCCACCAACACATTTCAGCGATTCGGCTAGTCAAACGGAATTGATCAGTACGCGTGATCCGCTCGACCATATGTTTAGCCCAACAACGTCTTACAACTCCGACTGTGATTTTCAGGTTTTTCCTCTTTTTTTCGTTTCAGTGAAAGTAGTAGTTTTTAATTTAACTAGCAGGGTGTGTAAAAAATGAGTAGTACGGGTTATTCGATATATATATATATATATATCGTTAAATTAACAAGATTATTATCACCGTCTTTCTGATCAGTACCTACTACGTCGCTGTTATATGAAGCAGTGTTATGTCTGCACATTTTGCATTCTCCTGCACTTTTCAGAATGGCCTTGTCTTTCTATATTTTGCACATATAAGTTATTTATATCAATTTGTCATGTCAGAATGATGAAGTTGCTTGCTCCATTTTATAAAGATTGCTTCAGGAATGCATCACTGTGCTTTTATGACGGAATGCATATATATATATACATTTATATAATTTCGTTCTATCGTTCTGTGCTTCGTTTCTATATCTTCTTTCCTTTTTTTGATGATGTCTGAAGTTCTGCTCCCATTCCTTTTCGTTTTGCGAACTTTGGCTTTCCATATAATTATTTCTGGATTTTCTGGGGTAATTTTATGACTTAGCAAATTTCATTCAGTTTCCTAAAAGAATGAATTATTAGCTAAGGTAAATATATTCGAATTTGATAGATTGGCTCAAAGCGAACTTTTTGTAGAGAGTTTTGCTGTGAGTATTTTTAATATGGATTTTTGGATATATTTTTCCAAGAAACGAGAAATTTAATCTTTGCGTATCAGGGTTGTTTTTAGCTTAAGTTTTGCCTTTTTTCGACAAACTTCAAAAAAATAGCAGCCATCACTTAACTTCATTAAGTGATATTCACTCTAACAGTCTGAACTAGATTAGGGTTATAGAGATGCCTTAATACTAACAGGTAGGAGCGTAGTCTCTTGAGCGTAGCCTCCTGAGTTGCAATCTTCCATTAATTTGGAGAAGTTCAAAATAGAAAAATTTTTATGTAAAAGTCGTAGAGACTTCTAGCTGTCCGTCTTGTGTCGAGTTTTTGCTCCCTTTTTTGTAGTCTTTTCAAGGTTGAAGGAATATATAGACATGGTTGAGAATATCAGTGATATCCGCTTTCCATATACTTCCATTGCTCCTTTCGACTTCTACTGTTGTGATGTTTAGCTTCTAAAAATTCTACAGCTTTTTCTTGATTTGTTGCACAAAATGTCGGAGTTTTGCTATTCCTGAAAAAAAGCCTTTATAGGATTTGGCATTCTTTGTAGAGGAAGTTTTTTCACTTTCTCAAAACTATCGTTAAATGATTTGAAGATCTGGGATGTAAGTTTGAGATTTACTAGAAGGGAATAAAGGTTGTAATCCGAAGCCTCTTTTAGAAGTCTCCCTGTTAGTTTAATGGCCCCATTCGGTGTACATTTATTGTTATTAGAGGACATGTTGCTCTACAATCAGTTTTGATGCTGTAATTTGCAGCTTAAAAACATATTATGCAAATATCTCATGAGTGGTAATAGCTTTGGAAAAGCAATTTTTAGACTGAAATTTAACAACAATAATTCTGCAGCCATTCAGGATTTCTCCACTGTTTTTTCTTTGTGTTGTGTTGAATTTTTTTTAATTTTCAAGTTTGTTTTAAAATTATTGCTTTTACCCTTTTGTGTATATGTATGTGTGTGTGTTTTTTCAATTTCTTTTGCTTGCTTGAGACGCATGCTTAATAACTGCAGGCTCAGCAAATCAGGGAGAATCTGCTGATCAACGAGGATAATCGAATCAAGCTGCTACTTCGGGAAATATTACAAGTGAAGTTCTATTTATGTAGCTTATATCTTCTTTGATTATATGATCCATACTGAAGTCCATGGGTCTAAAATTTCACTTCAAACTACTTTGTTCTATCAAGATTTGTATGTTCGTTAACTTTGACACTTGCTTCGGTGCTAGCAGATGGTGCACATTCATGCCGGCAATGAGTTGTTGCTTAGTGTTTAAATATTATAACATAAGGGTTCGCTTCTGTTTATAACTGAAGACACTTGGGTTATTCGTTGATTTCTTTCTCTCCAAGAAGATCACTTAAATAAAAGTAGGTGGAATTAATTAATTATACCAGTAATTCAGTTTCGTGAATTTGCAATTTCTTAAAGTGCATGCATTATTTTTTCGTCCCATATATCTGCATGATATCCTGGTACGTATCACGTATCTCCATATAGTTAATGCACACCGTCAAATATACAGCAGAAAGTCATAGTATTCATCTCGTTTATTACTAAAAACACTAGATAAAAATTATTATTAGATCGGAATCATCTTTTAAAGTTCTAAGCAGGTGAATGTATGTGAGGACCTTTTTTATTTTTTTCTGTCTATTCTTCTACCTTAGCTGTATTTTACATTGAAAAAGGACTTTTCAACTTATATATTCATCAGGTGATATCTTAGAAAACTCTTATACGTCATTAAATATTAAAAGGTAGTACTTTTAGATGATTCGTAAAAATGTAGGACAGTATTGATGCCGGTTCATAGATTAGTTTATAGTCATAAGGCGCGTTTGCTATTCTCATATTTTCTATGAATGCTAGGTTTGCAATTTAAAGAATTTTTTCAGCTTGATGAGGAATTTAATGAGGAGGACGATGAATTAATACAGTCGCTTATACAGAGGTATTTATTTTGTGTGGATGGGCTGTATTCAATAGAACTATTGATTCTGAGCAGTGGGTTGGCCATGGAAGTTGAAGATTGAGTGTTATGGTTGATTCCATATCATGTTTTGAATTTGTTTTTACCAAATACATGTTATTTTCTATCACTCAGGGATTTTATGAATATGAATGTTTGACTTTGATTTCTTCTTTACTTACTTTTGTTTATTATTTTTACTTACTGTTCCTAAAAACTGAACAGTTTATTTTGAAGACACAGAATTGAAATGGAATTGTTACGCGAGCGACAACGTCGTGAATTGCAAGTAGCACGTCTACGTTTGCGTCATAATCAGCTGAGCAATGGAAACACACTGCTGGCAGCAGTTGGTGGCGGTTTGACTCATTCCGTCGATAGCTCTGGAAGTAGCCTGCATGGTCCAATTCACATTCCATATCATCCTATTACTAGTCCCTACATCAGTTCACGATTAACTCTTCCTTCATCGATATCGCTTCCAGGCAGTCCACCACAGAATAGTTTCCTTGGACAACATCTTGCACCGTTGAGAGATACCCTAGTATGTGTTTATTTTATTACTAATAATGTATGGTGCAGGGCTCGTGGTCACTTACTAAATTCAAATATATATGTTCCTCATCTTTTTTCTACTTCAGTTCTTTCTAAATTCTGTTAATTCACTTTTACATTTGTTGCAGCCGCGACGAGCATATGCAACATCGTTGATTGAATCTACTCGTCATGCTTCAGTCGATGCAGCGTTATCTCGTAGACCAACTCATTCCTCAGCTCATTATCCTCTTCAAATTATCAGTAATGCAGTTGATCAGCACCGCCATCATCATTACCATCATCATCATCATCAGCAGCAGCAACAACACCAGGAGCAGCAACAGCAACAACAACAGGGGAGCATTCTGAACAGCAATTTAGATCATGGTAATTTACATGGAGGCATTTTGTCAAGACAACCAGCAGCACCAACAATCATGCATAGAACAAGTGCTATTACGGAGGTCGCGCCATCGCTTAATTACAACATTGAACGTCAGCTACGTGAAACATTTAGTACACCTCCGCAATGAAAAACTTATGCTAAACCTGGACTGTAATGAGTTTTTTGCCATTTTTTTTCTCTTTCTGATCTATTGGAAAGGTAATATTATTCAATACGTCTTGTCAGTTAGCCTAACTTCACTGTAGCAGCGATATGGTTGTATGAGGAGTTCAAAAGATCAGCTGTTTGATTTATTCACTATATAAGCTCTCAGTTGTTTGTACAAATGTAAGATTCAGAAGTTTGTGTTTATAATCTATTCATATTTTTGTTCTCTTAGACTTATTATGGTTGTATCCAATACATGTTCCATTGCATTAAACAAATGTTAGGTCTCACATACTGTTGCTAGCACCAATCTTATTTAGTAGTTTTTATTTTTTGGTTACATTCGCTTATTGTCGGATGATGCATGCGGTCATAGTTCATTTTTTACTGGAAAAAAGGGAAGAATTTTTTTTGCTGTCTTAATGGAACATCGTTTTCTGTTGACACGATTTGTATTTTATTTACACGATCCATTTTTTCTTTTTCCCCTTTCAGTCTCTGAATCGATCTTAGTTTCATAGATAAGTTGGAACTGATGAACTTTTTCTGGATTTGTGAATAAATTAAATTGGTTTGCTCTCGGGTTTAATTAAGCCGTAAGTCATGAATGAGGTAAAAATATTATTAAATTCCTCTTTTTTAAATGTAGTTTCGGAAAATTCTGGGGCATATCTGTCACAAATGGTTTAGTGGTGATAAGTAGCGATGGTAGTAATGGTGATGGTGGTGGGCAAAATTTGATTAGAAAGATGCAAGCATTCCGAAATTGATCTCTTTGTTTACAAAGATACACGATAATACATAAATGCAAGCAATTATTGCTATCATGTTACTTGAAACTCACTGATTTTTATTTATTTTATTGAATTGCTCCTTTTCCGTTTCTCTCAATTTCGAGCTTTCAGGATAATTTCGATACGGTTTCTGTATCGATGCAGGGAAAAAAAGAAAAGTGTCATTATTGACCGTAGTAACACTTTTCTTTTCTTAGTTTTAAACTTTCGATTTCGAAAAAAACTTCAGCAAGTTGTCGTGGACATCCCATTCTGTATTGTATTTTATTTCTCTTCTTCATTGTTTCCCGTCGTTATTATTGCGTCGGATAACTAGAAATGTGCATCATATGGACATCAGTGAATTGAACCAAATTTAGATTTGGAATTCACATGGATGTATTTAGAATGTTTGAATAATACTTGTAATATTCTTGTGCTTATATGATTGTAGTGCAGCCAAGCTTCGATGTAATGTTCGTAATCATGTCTTAAAAAGAGAAAGTATTTATAATGTTTATTTGCTTTCAATAGAGTTTATAAAGCAGATTTTTACTAATGCTTCTTTCACTTTCCAATTAAGATATTCATGGTTCAAGAATTTGATGGAAAGGGCACGAAGATGATGGAGGAATTTTAATGTTCAGAATACCAAGGATAAGAATTCATTTCCTGAATATTTCTCGAACATATATTCCCTTGCTTGGACCTCAGTTTCGTCTGTGTTTCTGACTGCTTAACAATCTGAGCTCAAATCATGAAACGGAAATGAGGAATCATTTTGAAAATTTTCTGATTCTCGCTACAAGTGTAGTATGGCTAGAATGATTGTTGATGAGTTGGCAAGAGACGAAAATGATTGATTCAGTGCTGCTTTTTTTAACTTTTGCAAAAGATGGGAAGTTAGAATGAAGAACTACTGATCTTATTGTTGTAAAAATGATCGGAAGAAATGCACGAGATTAAAATTCAAACGGTTTAAAATAGCTTGTGAGTGGTGTAAAGAAAAAGAAAAGACGAAGTAACGTATGTTATATATATTTCGGTGCTTGTTTGTTTGTCAATTAAATAGATTCAAGTATCATGCATGCTCTGTGGTCATTATTTTTATTTTGTGTTTGCTTTCCGAAATGCATCATTGCGAATGATCATGGAATGTCATCGGATGAGGCAATCAGAATTTCCTTAAATAACCAGTTTTCCTTGTCTGAAGATTTGCTGAGCATTTTGTCAAGCGACGATACTTCACACAATACAGTTTGCATTATTCTAAAAATAATATCATCAGTCATCAAAAAGGGAAATACGAGAGAGTGCATTAATCATTAAAACGATTGGTCATGAAATCTTTTCTTCTTCATCGAAACTGATTGATTCATTGATCATTATTATTATTATTATGATTATTATTATTATTATTTTATTATTATTATTATTATTATTTTATTATTATTATTATTATTATTATTATTATTATTATTATTATTATCAAATTTTGTTCAATGGATAACAGATATTATCAATGAACAACAAATAAATAGTTTTAATAATGTTAACTTGCTAGTAAATGTGATTAACAATAATTTTGGAATGGTTTGTTGAATTGCTTGAATAGAGGAGTTATAAATAAAACATGAATGAACCTGAATTGAACTTTACAAATGAAATATTACTAGGCAATTAATTAATTATATTAAATAATGAAGTCATCTAATTTTCTTTCCATGATCTCACTATTCCCATGTAATTCACAAATTATTTCAACTTCAATCAATAATACATTTTTCTGAAATTGTTGAAACAATGGAATCATTAAAGATTAATCAAGTTTAATTCATTAAACAATTATTACCAAAATTATCACAAAAATTTCATTAAAATAAAATTTGAAAAAAAGTAATTTTGAAATTAATTAATAGCAGAAATTATCTAGTTTTCTAGTTTATCATCAATCTAACAAAAAAAAAAAAATAAATGTTTGCAATAATAACAAGATTATCTATGATAAATCAAAAAGATCATTATTTATTTCATCCCTGTCAAAAATTATCATCATTTTTTTTAAAATAGTTTAATCTGAAACAAATTTATTTGGTTGAATTACGGATATGTAAAATGCTCGTAATATTTGAAGAATGGAAAATCATGATCATTGAAATATTTTTTGTATGCTCATATTGCTAACTTTAATTTCATGAATCTTTGTGTATGTGTATGTGTGTATGCGTATTTTGATTTTAACTTCATTTTATGTTAATTAATAATTAGTAAAATTAAGCAGATAATATCTGTGATTAAATTTAAGAGCATTAGATATAATTGTTTTTTATGATTAGAGCAAAATTTTTAATGCTTTTTGATTGTAAATGATATAACAAAATTATCATACCTTATCACAGTTCAACATATATGTATATATTTCAAGAGAAAGAGAGAGAGAAAGGAAAAGGTGATGGTATGATTAATTAATACTGTTTATAAATTAGTAGTATATGAATGAAACGGATGAACGTTTGAATATTACAGAATGGTTCATTGATGAGCTATATTTAAAGGAATTGAATTAAAATGGGATAATTTTCGCAACAATATTTTTTAAAAAAAAGAAAGAAAGAAAAAGAGAATATTTTAAAATGATTTAAACTAAAACGAAATATATTTATTAACAATTATAATTGTTAAAAGAAATTACCTGTAATTAAATTACTTTATTGATAATCAATGAGGTAGAAAAGAATTAATTTATCACTGTATTTAATAAATGATACTTAATTTTACCATTTTCTGTAATAAATATATCTTATATATTTGTTAAATATATTTGAGGAAAAAAAAAAGTTTACACATTTTATTAAATTAAATTTTATTTTTTATCAAAAATTATCAATAATACTTACGAAACAAAAAAAAAAGAAAACACTGATAAATAGAATCAATAGTTATCAGTACTTGCTACAATTTACATCATAATCGAAAATTAGCTGGTAAGAAGTGCAAAAAATAGCAATTATAGGATTAAATTTGATAATTTTAGTTTTTCTTTTTTAATTAATGATATTTTTTTCTTTCATTTAATTGTTCTTACAAATTAAATAAGTGTGAAGGAAGCTGCTGCCAATGAATAAAAGTTTCCATTTTTCAATTTTGCTTCTTTTTTAAAATTTAATTCTTTTGTTATATTTTAGCTAAAAAAGGAATTTGCTTAATGAATTAAGAATAAAAACAAGATATTCCAAAAATTTTTTTAGAAAAAAATTTAATTAAAAAAGAAGAAGAAGAAGAAGAATGAAGAAAAAGGAAGTTTTAATTGTTGCAATGTTAAAGAAAACCGACCGGTTTTACAACAAATTCAACATATTTCCTTCACTTTTTTTTCCTTTGATGAAAATTGGATTGCAAGTGATAATTCTAAAAATGCAAGAATGAGATGAATAATTAATGATAATATGATGTTTGCTAATCATTGAGATAAAATTTAAATTTTGATATGTATCGGATATACTGACATGAAGTATTAACTACTATTTGTTGAACTAAAATTTAAATTTTGATATGTATCGGATATACTGGCATGAAGTACTAGTTGCTATTTGTTGAGCTAAAATTTAAATTTTGATACGTATCGGATATACTGGCATGAAGTATTAACTACTATTTGTTGAACTAAAATTTAAATTTCGATCAGATATACTGGCGTGAATGAATGGGTGATCCAATTCTTTTTTTTCTTTGGTAGTAATTATGTTCACATTAAATACAAATTACAAATTATCACATTTTACAACAATATCTATACTTTTACAACTTTTCGTTTAATTTAATATGAAGGAAAAAAAGCTACTCATTTGTGAGTGAAACTTTTAATTGCTATTTGATAATTATAACAAAAGAAAATGAATAATGGAAATTTGTAAGAAATTTATTTCAATTGTCGAAAATATTATTTATAAGTAAAAGAAATGCTAATAATCTTTTTTTTTTTTCAAAAATAAAATAATCAATTGAGCTGTAAAAGAAATCATCGATGATTTTAATAAATTGAACGAAACACACTTATTAATTAATTAATTTATTTATTTATTGTTTATTTAGTGAATTTTGATAGTTGGATAATATTTTCCATTTTCGCATTAATTGGATGAATAATTTACTTTGACCTCTATAACTAATTCAATATATTACCATTTGTTGCAACTCATAGAGAAATGATGAATTTATTTCATTTTTTGAATTTCAAAAAGGACAAAAAAAAAAATGAAACTTAAATTTTCTAGTGTTTAAAAGAGGAAGCAATCATATTTCGGAATAAATTGATTATAATTAGATTATTAATTGGCTATAATTAGATTTCAAATAACAAACAAAATTGCTTAAATTCAATAAATCTAAATTCTATGGAAATTTATATGTTATTAAGCTCAAGCAAAAATTTTACTAAATTTTCTCATTGCTAAATAGAAAAGGCTATTTAATTGAGCTATATATGTTTTTTTGGAATTTCATCGATAAATTTTACATAAAAATTGAATTATTTTCTTGCAAAGCCTAGGTATGACTTATCAGGTATGACTTACTGATTTACCTAACAGATATGACTTACTTAACAGGTATAACTCAATGAATATTTTCGCACTTTACATAAACTTCGGAATGAATCAAAACTTTGAGTTTTCTATGATTTTTCATAATCACACAAAAAAAAAAGGAAGAAATGAAAAATGGAAAAAGCAAAGTTTGTATTTATCAGTTTTTTTGAATTGCAATTTGATAATGAAAAATAGAAATGATAAGTGGAAAATAATGATAATGAAGTGAGACAAATGGAGAAGAGAAGAGAAGGCTGAATTTTCAACTAATTTAGCTAATTGTATGAAAACAAAAGATTTCAAAAAATGAAAAGAAAGAGGAAAGAGAAAAAAAACGAAAGAGATATGAAATGGAATGAAAAATAAGCGAAATGAATGAAAATATATTAAATATATTTTTGTTAGTGATAAGAATAATTTGTTAATGATAAGATAATTTTCGGATTTTCGGATGTGAACAATAAATTTAAAATAAAAGTGTACATGTAGTAATAATAGAATAAGTAATAATAGTAGAAGATGAGGACGAGTGATAGCTTCATGAACATCTTTATTATTATTCATCATTAGTATTGCTATTATTATAATTTATTGCTAATATTTATTTTAATTATTTTTTATTATTATATTATTAACAATAATAATTATTGCTGTTATTATTATTTATTGTTATTATTATTATGTTATTATTACTACCATTATTATTGTTATTACTATTATTATCAGTGACAGAATCGCAGTAGCAATAGTAATATTATCTAATAGTAATATTAATTAATTATTATTACTGTCATTATTATTATTATTATAGTATTAATAGTAATAGTTGTAATAGCGATTAGTAATAATAGTAATAAGAGTAATATAATGTTGTAGTAGTAATTACTATTATTGTTACTATTATTATTATAGTAGTATCAGTAGTAATAGTAGTTATCCTAGTAATAGCGATTATTAATAATAGTAATAAGAGTAACATAATCTAATAGTAATGATCGAAGTAACTTCATAACAGAAGAGCAATAACGGATAAAAAAATGCCGAAGGCGTTTTTTCGGTAGAATGACTTGTAAACCGAATAAAATAATGACTGAAACTTGCTGGGTGAGTATGGATGTATGAAAATATACAGAATATTAAGAATGTATAGGTGTTGTGTGCATATACATGGATATACAGGCTTTAATAAAGGTAAGAGGAGGTGTAAGAGGTGATAAAAAAAAGAGGAAGAGCGGGGGAGGAAGGGGGAAAGAAGGTGTGTACTATGAATGTATATCTGCATGTCTTCAAGATTAGGGTGTATCGAATCGCGGGTACTTAAAGAAACGACTACAGCTCAAATTAGTATTGAGATTACCACCATCCTTAGGAGGGTGTTAATTTTTTATTATTCACACTATTTACTACTTATTTACTGTTTTTAATATCATTTAACTAAACAGTATAAACAACGATATTTCAATTTCCGTTTAATAATTACATCCATTTTCACATTTATTTTCAGTTGTTATTTTCCGTTCCATATTCTTCAACATTTTGATTTAGCCATACGGCTGAAATTTAGCAAGGATTTGCAAGAATGCAAGCAGTAAGTATTACTTCTTTTCTCTCTCTCTCTCTCTCTCTCTTCCTAACTTTTACTTTTTTTTTTGTTTTTTGAAATATTGATTTTTTTAATAAAATTTGAAATTATATAAAATTAAATTAGTGAAAATGATAAAAGGAAAAATGAAGCAATTAGATGAATGAATAAATAAATTGTAGATAAATTTTTTTTCAAAAATAAAATGTGATAAATATAATTCTAACTTTAGCATTTATAATTAAATCAAAATAAATTATTTTTAAATTTTATTGATTACATTTATTGATTACCGATCCGTTTTTTTTTGCTGAAAATTTCAAACCTTTTAAATTTGAAATTCGAAATTTCTTAAAATGAAAAAACAATAGATTATTAATGATTGCATTCTTACTCAGTAATCATCATTTTTACTTCTTCACTCTATATTTTTTGTATTATATCCACTTGTAAGATTGTATTTATAGCTACTTCTGTTGGCAGCTTTATTAATTGGAGCGCTAGATTCAGTTTATAGTTGCATGAGCAGTCCATGCTGCTGTCCACCAGCAAAACCAGCTTGTGGTTGTATTAGTACATGTGGTGCAGAGTAAGTTTTCCTTTCTTTTCATATGGAGCAGGACTCAATTATCATTTACAATTTCATTATCAAAATTACTCATCATGACGAAATATTATTATCAAGTAAATTGTTATCATTGTTTCTTTTTTTCCTTTTGTCTTATTCATTTTTTCAATTTATCCACTTAATTAATTTTTTTTTTCTTTCATAGAAATAATTTTAAATTGACAAATACAAAAGAATGAATAAATAAATAAATTAAAATTAGAAAATAGAAATAGTTAATTATATTAGAAAATTTCAGTTATATCATTACTAATATAGCAAATAATAATTTTATGAAAAATTCATTAATGAAATAATAATTGTATGAAATTTTTGCTGTATTAAAAGATACGGTGAAAAATGAAAGATACAAATAAAAATACATTCATTTAATTATTGTAAAAATAATAAACGATAGCTGTAAGAAAATTAATTATAGGAAAAAGGAGAAAAAGAAACGAAGCAAAAATATTTCCTTTTTGGTTCAGTTTAGATGGGAAAAATATTTTATGAATTAATTCATTTCAAATGAATTTTACACGGATTTTGTTATTATTCCGAATTTGTTTGATAAAATGAAATTCCATCACAAATTTAAACAAAAATAAACAAACAAACAAAAATGTTCTTTTTCAAAAATTGAAAACTTTTTCTTTAATGATAATATTATCAAAGGAATTAAATTAAAATGTTAAGAATTCATTGGATATTTTTATGCAAATAGTATTGTCGACGATTGCTTTGATTTATAAAATTTACAGACTTATTGGTTAATTTTAGTTGTTTTTGAATTTTGTTGAAATTCCGAAAATGTTCATTTATTTTCAGAGCACCAAGAGGATTTGGTGTACCGATACCTCCACCTCCACCTCCACCTCCACCCCCACCTCCACCTCCACCTCCACCTCCACCTCCAATTCCCTATGCGCAATTCCCACAACCACCACGAGCACCACCTGTCTATGCACCGCCTCCACCTTCTGCATATGGAGCAGGACCACCACCAGGTTATGCACCTGCTTATGGAGCACCATCTTTTGGAAGAGCTTCATCATCATACGGTAGTGGAGGAGATCCTTATGGAGGCGGAGGAACAGGCTTTGATGGAAGAGCTGGTTACGATGGTGGTGGTGCTCCACGGTACGGTGGAGGCGCTTCACAATATGGTGGAAGTGGAGTTGGAGGAGCAGACGGAATCTTCGGAGCGACTGCACCTGAATTACAAGCACCACCACCCCCACCACCACCACCACCACCACAACCACAACCACAAGCAGCTCCATCAGGCCATCAGCAACAGTATCAGGATCAGCCATCAACATTGACTGCGGAAGCTCCTCCTATAGCTGGACCTGTACCTTCATCATATCAGGATCAAGCACAATCGCTGTCGGCTGGAGGAGCGCTATCACAGGCATATCAAGAAGGTGACCCTGGTGCAATAGCGGTACCTAGTAGCCAAGCCGGTAATAGTTATCGTGATCGATCGAAATTTGCTAAAGTTTTCAAGCAACTATTAACGAGTTAGGCTCTAAAAACACTGATTACTTATTGTCTCTCCTTTTTATCTGTGCCTTTTATCTTAATTCAAGGAATGAATTTAGATAATTTTTTGTTTTATTTTTATTTTTTTTTGTACAAATTCTATCATTACCAATGTCATAAAGTAACCTTCCGTATCTTACCTTCCTTAATTTGAAATTTTATCACTTATAAATCAATTAATGTATCCATTCTATTAGTATTCAATTACTTTTATCAATTTCTTTATCATCTTATTCCATGACTATCCATTTCTCATATTTACAGATATATATATACCAGTTTGTTTGCAAATGATTCTGTGTTGTTTGTATATGTCGTCAATAAGATCACTGGAAACATTTCCTGGATTTTTTACATTTTACGACTAATTGGGTACATTTAATTTGAAATTAAAGGTTAGATGTTTGAATAGGAAAAGAAAAGAAAACGGGTAGAGGAGAGCTTCTTCTCCGGTTTTGTTAATTAACGTAATTTCACCTACACAAATGATTAACTTGTTTAATTTATCCCGCAACGCTAATTGTTTTGAAGATTTTATAAAACTTTTAGATATCTTTTCTCCATCCTTTAAATGGAATTTCAATATTACATCTGGTAAAGAATAAGATAGAAAAGTAGAAAAAACACATTTCAATATACACTTTTGCTGATTTCATCGACATAGTAAGTGTTAATTTAAATTTATGATATAGGAGATTTGATGTTTAAAATAAATTTTTATTCTTATATCTGAATCAAAATGCAAATTGACTTGTTTTTCTACTAAATCTTTTTTCAATATGTTCCACAATGTTACATGATATAAATGCAAGGATTGTATTAATTGGAGCATTATAAGGAATCCAAGCATAATGGATAACTGGAAAGAGAATATCGTAAAAAAGAAAAAATTTCAAACTTAAGCTGATTTTAAATTTTGAATAACCATATAAATCTAACACTAATTCTGAGGTACTTCTGGAATGATATATATTCATGGAATGATACTTCTCGTATGTCTGGAAGTTAATAATTTATCCACTTAGTAGTTTCGATCATCCATTATTTATTTTCAATTGTGAATTCAAGCTAATTGAAAATTTCACTATCTAATTTACTAACTTCAAATTTACCAACAAATAAGTCTGAAAAAACAATAACAACAACAATAACAATAACAATAGCAACAACAACAACAACAACAATAATAGCAACAACAAACTAGTACTACTACTACTAGAAGTTTTTGATTGAAGATTTTCTTCTTTTACAACAACTACTATTACTACCACCACCACTACTCGAAGATTTTGATTAAGGGTTTTATTTCCTCAATAACAAAGCCAAATGTTTTTCACTTCTACAACAGTACCATACCAAATATTTTCCTTCTTTAGTCATATTGGAAAGAAATAAATTCTTTGATTGGATAAATCAACCAAATATAATTTCATTGATGGAATAACGGAAAGAAGAAAAACTGGAATTCCTTTTTTTTGAATTATCATTGATGAAATTTACACATGTCGCTCATCTCTTCCAAGTTAACAACATCGTTTAACAATAGCTCACATATCTTTCTTTTATTACTGCCCGAAGGAGTTTAAATTGGTTTGAATTTGAAGTATATGATGGTCATCAGTTTCCTCCGGAATTTTGATTTGGTTAATGACGTATTCCTCTTTTTCTACCTTGTTTTTTTTGCTTCTTTAAAAAGGACATAATTATTTACCTTTTATTCATCCTTTCTTTTGGTCTCCTCTTCTTTTTCTCTCTCCCTCTCCCTTTTTTTTGTGGTCAATTGCTATGAGGTTGAAAATTAATGAATGAAAGTTCTGACACATTTCTTAACAAAATATACATGAATGTTACAACTTCTACAACGATAATATATTGTTTTAATATAAAATATTTGTTTCCGCAAGTAAATAATTTTTATTAATTAATTATTTCATAAAAACCTGTATTCATTTTTTTCATTCTATCCTATTTTGCTTTAGTAATTTTCTCTTTTGCTTATTTAGCTGTCATCTTTTATAGTAATTTATTTTATAATCAGACGAATGCATTTCAAATCGAACTTTTAAAATTACATTACCTTGAATAACTACCATTAAATTAGTAGGAATATTATTAATATCGGCAATAACAATAATAAAACCACAGTAATAATAATAATATAATCACCCTAAAACCAACATATTAATGATCTTTAAGAAGTATACTGATTTGAATAATCATCACGAAGCCAAAAGAACACTATGGTAATAAAAACAACAATTCCATCAACTACGACAACAACAGCAGTGACAACAACAACAACAACAACAGTAACAGTAACAACAACTCCAACATCAATAACAAAAAAATAAATAACATTGTTTTGAAACCAACATGTTTACGATATTTTAAACTATATTGACCGATATGAATAACCAGCTAGTAGTGATAATAGCAATAAAATAAATTGCAGTAATGATAACACATATACTGTCCTTCTCGCAATGGTTTGAACAATCATCATTAAATTAGTGATATCATTAATATCAGTAACAACAGTCACTACAATAAAAACAATAACAAAAATGATAACAACAATAATAAAATTAATGAAAGCACTTAAAATAAAATCATCTTAAAATTAAACTTATTTGTTACACAAAACAATTTTCAAATTGATCGGAATTTTTGGCATATCATGCATGCATAATCAACATTTCTTTCTTTACTGATGCCACGGATAAAGTGGATCCTCATGTTGTTGTCCTATCCGGCAGATATACGTAAACGAGTTTTGTTCACTTTTTTTTTTCATACTTCAAATTCAAAAGAAATTAAAGACGAAAAAACATTTTCTCTAACTTCAACGGATCGCATTGATACATGGCACAATGCGAATCGTATAAAATGCGCATTCTTTTTCGCTTCAATAAAATTAATTTAAAGTTGTATGAGAAACTAACCTTTCGTTTAAGGCATACAATAGGGAAAGAGTGAAAGTACAACCTTTCGTTTAAGGCATACAATATGGAAAGGGTGAAAGTAGAAAGGAAAATGTTTAATGAATTAAATGATCAAAAGGGATGTGATAATTTTTACTCTTGTAAAAGTTTGAATATGTGAAAAGAAAAAACAGAAAGAAATGAAGCAAATAATCGATTGAATAAAATTGTTCCCTTTTTCTTTCTACTGTAGCTTATGCAATTGTTATCATGAAGATTATTAGGTTATCATGAGGTTATCATTGAATATTTTATTATGCTAAAATGGAAAAGAATAAATAAATGAAATTTGAGATAATTCATTTAAATATTAATGTGTGCATATTCATTAGGTTAATCCGATCATAATTGAATAATTGATCTTTGATATATTTCAATTGCAAATTTAATTTCTTTTCTTTTTTATTAATGAATGGGGAATTTCTTTCCTTGACGTAAAATATATTATTATCTAAAGGAACGATATTTGAGAAAGCTTCCTAATGTATCATCAATTTACTTGCAAAACAATTTCCACTTCAAAGTATTCATCTGCAAGTTAATTCTTTCTGTTTGCTATTTACCGAAACTTCATTTTAAATTTTATATAATTTTCTTTTAAGAAATTTTAAGAAAAACGAGAATATGTAACAAAATTCATCTTTAATCAATCCGTAAACCTCTCTCTCTCTCTCTCTCTCTCTCCACAAAGATCAAAACAATAAAGCAAATTGATAATTATCAAGAAACAAAAAAAAAAGTTGATCATATCTGGATATCGTATTTTTTTGTCAATTTTCAGATGTCATCAATTTCATTTCAACAATCGGCTTCGAAGAAATTTCACGAGTTTTTTAAAACAATGACTAGTAAAATATGAAAAATTAGTTTTTACGCATATCAAACCAGCTTAGCCAAAATTAAATTAAATCAAAATATCAGTGATAATCGTTTCAGGAAGATCCATAATTTGAATGGGTAAATTTCATTTCATATTGCAGATATATCTCAAAATTATTAAGATTTCTCAAATATGTTCTGATGATAAGACTATACAAGTTTAACTGTATAAAGATTTCAAAAATGCTCTCGCGTTAAATTGGAACAGGATGAACCAGTAGATTTCAGAAGTGAGCTGGCTCTAAACCAAATTAAACTGCAAAAATTTCAAAAATATTCCGACGCTAAAACAAATTTAACTGCCAGGATTTCTACAGTGTTCCCACTCTAATACGAGAATTTGATAATATAACATAAGAGATTTAAATTGCTCGGACTCATAGTGTAGTTTAGAGTTTAGAGGATGTTTTGCTTCTGTAAATGAAATTTCAAATAACATTTGATGAAAGTCAATTTTGAAACGGTAACAGGGTGCTCAATCGGTTAACGAATAATAGATAACCTGCAAGTAAACTTATCAGGCTTCATATTCCTTGAAATCTTTATAAGTTTCTAGTTTCTTTGAATCCCTTATTCAACTTTATTTCCGGATAAATCAGCATGTTTTTTTACACTTCATTATATCATTTCGGATTTCTTCCTTTCAGTGAATTTAAAATATTTGGAAGCACGGAAATCGCTATCCCAGGAAGATTTGAAGTTTTATATGACAGAGATTTTTGCTATGAAACCTCTCAATTTATTGGGACAATTTGAGTGGAGAAAAGCCGGAAAAAAAAACAGTTCTCCGGAATTGATTATAAGTACGGGATGATTCAGGAATATTAACAAATTCACAGATATTTTGATAACTTTATATCAACTTGTATAAAGCGCCACATTCAGAATGCTAAATTTAATCTACCACAAATATCGGAGTTCCAGATCATTCGTTTTTCCCTCTCCTTCTCTCCTCTATACTCATGTCTTCTTACATCGAACTTCACAATAGGTAAACTATTATTTCATGCGGTATCACCTTCAAAACCTCAAAAGCACAATGCCTCATATCAGATAATAAGCGTACAGCGCTAAATTACTACAATTTCAAATCCAATGAAACCAACCAAACCTCACACGATGATCAGCAATTAAAAAATTTTGAGTTTAAACATGCAAATATTATTGATATCATAGACCACCCACAGTGTCATCCATTCTGTGTCAACAAACTTTATCGACATTAAACTGATAGGAAAGCGTAGCAACTAAACATTATGCACCATTTGCTCATTAGACCACCCACGAAGCTTTTGCTATTTTTCCCTCGCGGGATTTCAAAATTACAAGAGGGACCTTTTAGCCGTATGAAATGATGGCAACCTTTGCATGTAAGCTCACATTCATTTACCACACATTCAGACACACAGACACAAATACACGTACATAACATATAACATATAACACATAACACATTGAGACGTTAATGGTAGGAGAAAGTATATATGATTGGATCTACTAAGTATTGATAAGAGCTTTGAATATATCAGCTATCAGTTAGTGCTAACGTATACCATTATTATTGATTGATTCTGATAAAATAAATTTTAATCGATTTTTTCGTTGTGTTTAATTCTTTTTAAAATGTAAATTCATTACAATTAAAAATATATTTTACACCTTTTTTCTACTTTCTTTAGTTTGAAATTAAAATTCAACACTTTCTTTTTCTTTTAGATCGTTTTTATTTTGGATTAAAATTTTGCTTTTAACTTTTTAGGGAATTATCCCTTGAGATTTTGTTTATTGTTTACTAAAAAAAAATATTTGCTTACTGCTACAAAAAGTTATCCTTCCAACAAATCATTACCACTAATATAAAACCGGAATATCTGCTGAATTGGTTGTTGATGGATCGACTAATAGATGGTAGAGATGGTAGGAGTGGAAATGCCTAAAGAAAGGGGTCATATGCTGACGAATTTTTAGAATGAAAAGAAACACGGAATATCTCAACTCATCTTCGAAAATTGAAAATCCCGGAACAACTGAAATAACTTGAAAATATATAAATGTTAAAATAAATAATCAATGTATCTTTCTGCTCCTGTTATTTATATTATAAGAAGTGATTTGATATGTTTGTTTAATATCTCAAGTCAAGCGATTTTGATATGTCTGTTTAAAGTCTTAATTCATTACTCTAAGAATACTATATATAATTAACATCAAATAACTCTTTATACCATCTGCTCTATCTAAAGTTCAAACAATTCTTTGTTGACCGTTTTATTTCTGTCTACTACAAACCACTAATGATTTATATGCAATGAGTGTTTTACTATTAGTCTCTTTTATTAAATAACTAGAAGATTTCTGTTATGATCAATCTTTTATCAAGTGACCTTACGGTGCTTACCGAGCATCGCCCAACATAAAAGGAATACATAGCATCTTAATCACTACCGGGGCCAGTTTCATAATCTGAAGATCTACTGTTAGCTCACACCCATCTCTCATGCACAACTGCTACCTCAATATTTTTGATATTGATGAATAACGTTTATCAACTGTGACATTCCTCTGAATAAAATAAAGATTGGCCAAACTAATCAAATCCCTATTTCATGGCAATATTTTTGATGCCCGAGGTGACATATGTTCAAGTTCGAAAGTTTGACAAGAAAGGCCTAAATACCAAAATCAAAGATCCGAAAATTTCTCAGCAAAGTAAACGAACGCGATTCACCCTACCAGGTCGTACACTTCAACGAGAACTTAGAAATAATACGAAGTCAAATTGTGGATCGTTAAAGAAAAGATCAAATGCCTTAATTGTTATGCCGGTTTTGCTGGAAACAGTCATTCAAAAGTGGTTAGATCTCGTACAAAGAACGGCATTGCAGCAACAAAGATGAGGAAATGAAATATGCCAAAGTGATCGATGATCTGCAAGGTACCTTATATTTAATAGCTAGTACAAGAAAAGCCAGTGATGACTATGAAGAAGATACCGGAGTTAAAAAGTGATATCCAACAATCACGCGATGACCAACCTTCCAAATTTGCCACTAGTAACGTTTAGCGGAGATCCAAAAATGTGAAGATGGCTTGTATTAATTTTTGAGCAGTTTCAAAGCTGCAGTTCATGACCAAAACATGCCAGACACTCAGAAATTAAGCTACCTGATATCTTGTTTTAAGGGGGATACATTGCTAGATGTAAGGGTCACGATATCGCACCAAAAAGCTACGAGGTTATAAGAGATTTACTAGCCGAAAGGTATGATAAATCTTTGATTATAAAGAAGTAACTTTACGATAAATTGCATTCCATCAAAAGAAATGATAGTAACTAAAAAGTAATCATTGGAGCTATGGAAAGAACATTTCGACAGCTGGAAGCTATAGGTAAGAGAGCATCCAAGTATCGAAATTGTAATTGAAAATAAATTGCTTGGATATTGAACAAAGTGTACCAATTAAAGGAGGACTCAACAAAATGGTCGGTTCATAGGATCCGATAATTCTTGAAAAAACTAGTACTAAGAAACGAAGCCAAACAAACGTTAAGGGTGACACTTCAGCCTCAACTGTAATCAAACAATTCAATCAAATCAATGAAGTCAAAGAAAGCTCCAGAATTAAAAGGAACTGCTATGGGTGGGAAAACTAGAAGATCTTGGCATTTCGCAACGAAGACCATTGGTATAATGAATGCCATATCTATCCCACGCTCAAACTCCGTATGGAACAACGATTGAGGAAAATCATCGCATGTTCCAAATGTCTTCGAACAGGATATGGCATCAAGCGATTGCAAAAAGGTGGAAGTCGAAGCCCATTGTTCCCAACTGTGAAGGTCCGTACATTTCGGCATATTACGGTAATTTCAAATATAAAAAACTTAGGGCAATTAGTGGGTTCCAACAAAGACAGTCCGGATTCCATTACAATCATAAATTCTATCACTGAAGATGGAAACCAAAAAGATAAGCGAATTTTGCTTTTAGGCAAAGAAAATAAATGTAGTAAATTCAAACCATCCAGAAATTCAACAAAAAGCTTTAGCACTATTTGATATTGATTCTCAATTATCGTTTGTGTTTAAGAAATTAGCGAACTGATTAAATCTACGAAATGGAATTGAAAATTGCCCTCATTTAGTGATAAGACACCAAAACCATGTCTTACTACTAAAACTAAAATCGGAGTAGAAATCGGAGAAAAAAGAATCCGACTAGAAGCAATTGCTGTTGACCACTTGACAAATGAATTACGAGTAGTTAATTTCAATAGAAAAAATTTACCGATAACAATTCAACAAAATCAATTAAATGATCTCAAAGGCCAGTGGAAACAAACCGGACGTTCTTGCCGGAGTAAACTCTTCAAATACATTTAGTTTGTTAAAGCGAAAAACTTAAAATCCGGATTCTCTTTGCTTCATACAAAGATCTGAATCTGGGGATATAAATGAGATTTACAATTACAATGCTATATCGATAAAGATCACTGCTATTGTAATTGCAATCGCTATTCCAGACTTAATCACTTCTGGAAACTGGAATTAATAGGCTTTCAAGAACAACCCAATACCTGTGATGATGAGAAGGCATTACGAAAATTCAAACAAAACATTATCAACTAAGCTAAAAAAGGCATCAAGTTTTTTGACCATGGAAAGATTCAATGATCAAATTGAACGATAATTATGGGCTTTTTCTTGGCAGACTGAAGCCATTAATCAGAAGGCTTCAGGCTGATCTTTAATTAGTCGATAAAACAAAATTATCAAAAAACAGCTACAATCTAACATAATCGAGAAGGTAACACCATGCGTGAATGAAATTGACACCATTTACGTTTACCATTCCGGTTGGTACCGTTTACCCGATTATGAAGTGTGAGCACCTAGCAAAACCACGACATAATCAATAATCGTTTATGACACATCAACTCATTTCAAAGGAATGAAAAACTTAAATAATGTTTTGTATCGAGAACCAATAACACTCATCGACTTAATCGGAATAATGCTTTATTTCCGCAAAATGTAAAACGTAATAGTATCAGACATAGAAAAAGCATTACTGGAAATGGAACTACAACCGACAGAGAGAAACTGTATTCAATTCTTTAGTTAAGGTTCAGTAAATGAAAAAAAAAAACCTCAAGTTCGTTATCATTTCAAAAGAGTTCCCTTTTTATTGCCAGCCACTCTGAATTATCATATGGAAACATATAAGGGCGAAATTGCGCTCGAAATAAGAAAAAAAGCCCTCATGTTGACAGTGTTATTCTATTAATTAACGTTGAACAAAAGAGAACTTTTATCAAACGATCAAGAATTCAGTGAAAAAATTCCATTCGAAAACAAGATTGAGCTAACGTTAAGTCTAATGAAGAAAATTCTTGTCCTTCAATGATATCACAAGAGAGACATTATTCAATTAACATTGAGTCCACCCTGGGATAGGAAGAAATTAACAAAGAGGTCCATTTCATAATTTGTGGCCTTACAGTACGACCGACGATCCTTTGAGATTTATAGTTCTTATCATGATACGATTCAAATTATTTCCTCAAAATTTATACAAGAAAAACCTTTCTTGGGGTTAAACCATAAATGATGAAGATGAAATATTGTGGAACACACTTACAAACGAATGACTAAAGAAATTTAAAAAATTACCGAGATTCATAACAACCTTCTCCGAGCAATTAGAATTTTATTTTCTTCACTGATGCATCAAACATCGCATATTCACCAGCCGTATATGTGCAAAATCAAGAAAAGGTAACATTCTTCTTGGTTTTCATTAAATCCCAAATTTCACCTATCAAAAACAAACAAATGATAATACCTCGATTGGAATTACAAAACCCATCGAAGTTAGAGCTGGTCAATTCATGATAAAATAAATGGAACTTGAAAACGTACGAACAACCTTATGGTCAGATTCTCAATGAGCGTTATATTGGGTCGAAAATAATTTCCAACTACTGCCAACATTCATACAAAATCAAGTTGAAGAAATACGAAAGGCAAAGGTCCTCTTTTGTTATGTCCCAAGTAAACATAACCCAGCTGATGTTGTCAACTAAAAGTCTATCTCCTGCGAATCTTAATAATTACGAACTATGATGGAAAGGATTTAAAGGAAAAGGAATCAATTTAGGCACAATGAGAAATTGGATTCAAAGAAGACTGAAATGAAAACGAGGAAGGAAAAATAGTCGCAAAGGTAATCACTCAAACTACCATCAAAAAGATAACATTGATCAGTGAAAATCGTTCAGGAGCGGTTCACCTAGAGCAAGTGGAAAATTTATTTGCAGAGAATTTCTTAAATGTTCAAAGATTTATCGCTTGACATGGATACCCAACCTTAATGCTAAGTGATAATGCTAAGCTAATTTCAATTACTCTTCAAAATCATCATAGAATAAAATAAATACCAAATTGAGTGATTTCCTCTTAGAAATGGGAATGATATGGAAAAATACAGTATCAGGAGTTCTCGGAATGGCGGGATATATGAAAGATTGATTGGATTAACAAAGAAAAAAGAACAATGAGAAGAGATATAGGAATGAAATTGCTGTGGGAAAGAGCACTAATAATATAAATAGTGAAATTGAGAATATCCTAAACATTCGATCACTAACTTATATCATTTCTGATGATTATGTTATCATCCACCCAATTGATGTCCTTTTAACACCTCCTTGATTTTATCGATTGAAAGGGAGGGATCATAATGAATATATTTCCTAAAAGGAACCATCAAAAAGAAGCAGTAGCATCTAGAATACCACAAAACGTAGAAATAGTATTAGTAAATACCTCAGTGTATGGAATCAGAAATATCTCATAGTGTATGGAATCAGAAATATCTCACAGTGTATGGAATCAGAAATACCTCATAGTTTACGGTAATTAGTAAAAATAAAAGAAATCATAAGAGGACAAGATGAAGAAGTGAGAAATACCCGTGGTAGAAATTGTCTAAAAGGAACATTCTCAACAGATCAGTGATTGTGCTGGACTGTCTAGAAATTAAACAATGAAGGAAGTCGAAAAAATCAATTAACAGAGTTCAACAAATCAGTTCAGGAAATCGATGAATAATGAAGAACCTGTCGCTCTACGAATTAGAAGTGCTACAGAGAGTCGAACTCCAACAAAAGCAAAGGACAAAAACAAAGGTGCTAATTTCTCCAGTCGGGAATGTCAGAAAAATTCAAATAACTTGAAAATATAAAAATGTTTAAATAATCAATTTGTCTTTATACTCTTGTTGTTTATATTATAAGGATCTTTTGCCTCAAATAAATATCTCAGGTGAAGTGGTTTTAATATATCTGTTTAATATCTTAATTCATTATTTTAAAAAGTATTCTAAGGAATACTGTAAATAATTAACAACAAATAACTTTTTATACTATCGCCTCTGTCTATTAAAAGTTCCAAGTAATTCTTTGTTGACCGTTAATTTTATTGTCTTATATGCTACGACCTGTGTTTCATCATTAGTCTCATTTTGTTAGATAACTAGAAGATTTCTGTTACGACCAGCCTTTTTATCAAGTGACCTTACGGTGCTTAACCGGGTATTACCCAACTTAAAAGGAAGCATCTTAATCACTACCGGAATCAGCTTCATAATCTGAAGGTCTACAGTTAGCTCGCATCCATCGCTCATGCACAACTGCTACCTCAATATTTTTGATATTGAATAACGTTTATCAACTGTGACATTTCTCTGAATAAAATAAAGATTGGTCTCAACTATATTCGTCTCTACAAACTAATCAAATCCCTATTTCACGACAGAAAATATGGAATATCTCATTTCATCATTGCAAATACTGAATGTCTTAATTCATCTTTACAACTAATAGAAAATTTATTTTGGAAATTTCATTTGATACATTGGTTATTATAATCTATTAACAAACGAACGTCTGATTGGAGGAAAATGATTATGCTTATAAAATATTGTAATATAATCAACACTTAGATTTTAGGCTTTTTAAAAATGATCAATTGAAAGATGAGAAATCGATCATACAAAATTTTCAATTTATTTGCCTATTTTTTTTAAACTAACCCATCGGAATATTTTTCCAAATTTTTGCAATCTTCTAATTATGATAAGATGAGAAAATTTTATGAAAATTATTATCATCAAAAAGTTGTGGAAAATTTTTGTTATGAAAAAAATTAATCAAATTCATTGATGAAAAAAATATTATGATACATGGTATCATATTTTTGCAGAAAAATTTGTATGCGTAAACTTTGTCATTCAAATATCAAACATTTAAAAAGAAGGAAGGAAATGAAAGATATCTGACATTTGTTTCTGTAATGACATTTCAGATGGCTGATATGAAAAGAATCATAAATTGTTTCGAAGATCGGGCAAATGAATCGTATCATATTTTAGTTTTCTTTTTTGATAACTAAAAATGATATTTGATAACTTTTACTGATACATTCTTCCTTTTCATTCGTTTCCTTTCGTCCTTCTGATTAATCTAAAATTTTGTCAAGTTGTTTGTTTGTTTGAAACTAATTTTGTTAAAGATAAAAATATTTTCATTTCATATAAAAGTAAAATTTATAATTTTTCTCTCTTAAATTATTACATATTATTGCTGGCAATATATTTTACCACAAAAAGAAAAGATTAATGCAACAAAAATAATTTCAATTACTATTATTATTATTTTATACTATTTTCTAGTTAACTTACAACTAAAATACTTATTTACTGAAATATTATTATTGCTGGCAACAATTTTATCACAAAAAGAGTAGATAAATGCTAGTTAACTTACAACTACTCATATTATTTTATACTAATTTCTAGTTAACTTAGAACTACTCATATTATTTTATAGTATTTTCTAGCTAACTTACAACTACTCACTTTATACTATTTCCAGTTAACTTACAACTACTTAAATACTTATTTACTCAATTATTATTATTGCTGGCAATAATTTTACCACAAAAAGAAAAGATAAATACAACAAAAATAATTTCAATTACTATTATTATTATTTCACTATTTTCTAGTTAACTTACAACTACTATTATATTATTTTATACTATTTTCAGTTAACTTACAACTACTATTATATTATTTTATACTATTTTCAGTTAACTTACAACTACTCAAATACTTAATTACTGAAATATTTCAAAGTATATTTATTGTTTGATGGATTAAGGTTGTTTTTGTTTTTATTAAGAACTTAAAAATTCCTCATAAAGGTAAAGGGAAAAATTGTCATATATTGTTGGCTATTGTTGAGAATTTAAGAAATAACTTACGTGATACGATGATAGTGTATGAATTGTGTAGGAAATGTTTTTCATTTTAATTTTTA